ACCTGGAGGGTATTATGCTTAGTGAAATAAGTCAGACAGAGAAAGACAAATACTGTATGTTATCATTATATGTGGAATCTAAAAAATAAACAAATGAAAGACTATCACAAAACAGAAACTGACTCACGGATATAGAGAACAAACTAGTGGTTATCAGTGGGGAGAGGGTACAGGGGAGGGGCAAGAGAGGTGGGGAGAGGGGATTAAGAGGTACAGACTACTATGTGTAAAATAAATAAACCTCAAGGATGTATTGGACAACACGGGGAATATAGCCAGTATTTTATAATCACTTGAAATGGAGTATAATCTATAAATATATTGAATCATTATGTTGTATACCTGAAACTAATATAATACTGTAAATCAGCTATACTTCAGTAAACACAGACTTATTTGGATAGAAATGGGCAAATGTTCAATAATTGCTTTATCATTGTAATTTATACTCTGAGTACTTCAAAAAGTATTACAACTTCCTGGACAATAGGATGTTGAAATTGATTTTAGCCCTCCAAAGTTCAGGGCTCTATACCCACTGCCTGGCACAGGGCCTTCTATATAGGTATTCAGTATATATTTGTTAAATAAATGGAGACCATTTGCATCAAAACAAGCAGAAATTGAACTACAGTCCCTGATAAAGTGGTTGAAGAGGACAGATTATAGTGTTTATTCATTTGAGGTCCTTGGAACATCTGCATTAGGGTTACTTGAAATGCTTGCTGAAATGCATATTGCTGGGCCATGCTCCAGATATACTGAATCAAAAATCCCTGGGCATGTGTCTCAGGAATCTGCATTTTAATGGGTACCTCTGGTGACTTTTAAGCATGGTCAAGTTAAAAGAAATAATGCACAGAGGGCAGGGAAAAGAAGACCAGGTAAAGCCCAGAGGAAGTATGTCTTTAGGGGGCAGTGCTTTTCAGCATTTTAACATCATTTACAATTAGAGAATATTTGCAAAGCACCTTGGAGTACAAAGGAGGAGAGACTGATAGAAGCTGGAAGTAACCAGCGCCAGGGACTTTGGCAGGTTCAGGCCCCACCTGGCTGCCGCAAGGATGAGGTATCAACATTTTGACACATCAGTAATCTATCTGTGACACTAAAGAAGCTCCATCAAGGGCGAGAAGGAAAGGAGAATTTAAAGGAGAAATTTATCAAACAAGGCTGAGAACAGTGCATTGCCCCCAAAGTTCCAGATGCTGCGGAGAATTCAAGGACTAGGGATGACCTTTGAGTTTCAGTAATTGGAAGGTTAAGGGAATCATTGGCGTTTTATTGCAGAGGTGAAGGGAAGGAAAAGGCATTTGTAAAGAAATAAAGGAAATGAGCTACAAGGAAGTAAAGGACACAAGTACAGATGACTATTGGAAGATTTTAAGTGCTAAAAGAAAGGAGACAGTAGCTGGAAAAGTATCAGGAAAGGGTTTGGGGGAAGGGGGAGGCAAGGTATAACAGAAGCCTTTCTTTGGTACTTTAAGAACAGAAGGTAGTTTGCATTGGCATGGATTTCATAAATTACTTTTAAAAAATTGTAATTATTTAGTGGTCTAATAAAGGACCTCAAAAGTCCCCTTGAATTATAAGAAGAAATAATAGTTACAAATCAGGCCATTAGTCAGAGAGAATGCTGCCACTGGGGTGGATACTTCTTCAAGAGCTGATGCTTTCAGAGCTGATGTCTTTTGGCTTGTCCTAATTCAGGTTCAAGTTCTTTAATCTATTGTCTTCATCATCAGTCATAGAAATCCCCTTCAGCACACTAGTGCCAGGTTAATCACAAGCTGTATTTTATAGCTTTTCAATCTTCTAAGACTATTTTATGCAGACTGACAGGAGCAATTGGAAATTGCTTTAAATAAAGTGATTTTAGGAATGTATTTGTGGTAGACAGAATAATGCCCCCCTAAAGATGCCCATGTCCCAATCCCCCAAAACTGTGAATATGTCATTTTGCATTGCAGGGGGAAATTAAGGTTATAGTTGGAATTAACTCTGTTAATCAGCTAACCTTAAAATAGGAGAATAACCTGGATTATCCAGGCAGGCTCGATTTAATCACACGAGTCTTTTAAATATGGAAGCCTCAGGGAGAGATTTGAAGATGCTATGCTGCAGGTTTTGAAAATGGGGAAAGGAGCCATAAGCCAGGGAACACGAGCAGTCTCTAGAAGCTAGAAAAAGGCAACTGATTTTCCCCTGCAGCCTCCAGAAGGAATACAGCCCTGCCAAGACAATGATTCTAGCCAATTCTGGTCTTCTAACTTCCAGAACTGTAAGAAAATTAATTTGTGTTGTTTTAAGTCACTAAATTTGTGGTGACTTGTTACAGAAGCAATAGTAAACTAATATAATATCTAAGTTTTAAAATCTTAATTTTAAAACATAAAGTCTCACTTCTCTGTCAGACCAGAAGTTCCTCCAGACCAGTAATCAACCTTTATGCTTGAGGCACAATATACAAAATAAACATTTGTTGAACTTGAACCTGTATATCATATTGTCTAGCCACCATTTCTTGGGAGAGTTGCTTACTGTTCTTAAATAAAGTTTCCATTCACCTGGGAGCATGCTACATAGAGAAGCATTTCCGTTGCAGTCAGTACCTGTAGTTCCGAACTTCTTCCTTAGTGACCTTTGATTGACTCTTATTTATTAAATATGAGCATTGAGAACCATAGCTATGTTATGAATACCATAAAAGATAAAACATTATTTTTTAAAAAACAGGTTTTTTTTGTCTTAATGTTATGGAGTTGTGAGGGTTCTTTATATATTCTAGACATCAGGCTTTTATTATATATGTCTTGTAACTACTTTTTCCCCCAGTCTTGGACTTGCCTTTTCATTTTCTTAACATCAGCTTACTGAGCCACACAGCCAGGATCCTTTGTTAGGTCTTCAGTTTTCACCAGACTATGACCTTTGCATGGAAATTTTATTTCTGACTTAGTTTTCTACCTCTGCCTTTCATCTTTAACTAACTCCAACTCCTATGACATTTTACATATCTCCATAAGCGTCTTTTGTTTTTAGAAGATGAGGAATAAATAGAATACAAGTTCCGTGGCTTCTTGTACCTCAGTTTCAACTGCTCTAGAGTAAGACCACCTATCTAAGAAACCTATCTAAGAAACACCACCCTCAGTTGAGGTTTGTTTTATGCCATAGAAGCTTATATATATATTCATACCATCCCAAACATATTCTCAAAACTTGGTGAAAATCTATAAAACATTTTCTCATGATGCAGGAACAGACCTACTTATTTTTATAGATTTGTATTCATTTCCTTCCCAGTCATTAGATGAAACTACCAAAATTGACAGAATAAGGGCAGTTTTAAATGTGTTATACACTGCTCTTTGGGATGTAATATGTATTAGTTATCTATTGCAGCTTAAAACAAACATTGATTATGTCATAACTTCTGTTGGTTAGGAATCTAGGAGCAGCTTAGTGGTGCCAACTCGGGCCCTGTTAGGCTGCAATCAAGTTGTGAGTCAAGGCTGTCGTCATCTTAAGGCTTGACTGACGGAGAATATACTTCCAAGTTCCTTCACGTGGCTGTTGGCTGGTCTCAAAAACCTGCCCCTAAGCTCACTCATGTGGGCCTCCCCACAGGGCTGCCTCATAGTGTGGCAGCTGCTTCCTGCAGAGTGAGCCATCATGCTAAGAGAGCACACAAGCAGAAGCCACAGTCTTTTTAAAAACCTAAGTTTGGAATTGACATCCCATCACTTATATTCTATTAGAAGCAAGGCTGTAAGTCCAGCCATACTTAAGGGGAGGAAGGGTTTACATGAGGGCATGAATACCAGGGAGTGGTGATCATTGGGGCCATCTTAGAAGCTGGGTACCACACATATAAATTAGTGAGTTCATTGGTTCATCAGAGACTAGATAATCAAGTTTATAATATACCTAACTGAAATTAAGTTCAGTAATATTAGAACATTTTGTAAAAAAAAAAAAACTACAAATAAATCTCCCATGTTAGAAGATGTAAAATAAAAATGGAAGCCTTTTAACTTTAAGACAGGAAATTTAGAAGGTACGGTAGAATAATCAACACAATTTACTCTTTTATACGCTACTCCCCTCAGATTGTCCACTTCTGACTTTCTATTAGAATTCTTCCCTTCATGTTCTAAATTCTACTTATTCCTCATCCTCTAAAAACAAAAGACGCTTATGGAGATATGTAAAATGTCACAGGAGTTGGAGTTAGTTAAACATGAAAGGCAGAGATAGAAAACTAAGTCAGAAATAAAATTTCCATGCAAAGTTCATAGTCTGATGAAAACTGAAGACCTAACAAAGGATCCTGGCTGTGTGGCTCAGTAAGCTGAAAATGTAAGTTAAGTAAGTTAAGAAAATGAAAAGGCAAGTCCAAGATTGGGGGAAAAAGTAGTTACAAGACATATATAATAAAAACCTGATGTCTAGAATATATAAAGAACTCTTACAACTCCATAACATTAAGACAAAAAAAGCCCTGTTTTTAAAAAAATAATGTTTTATCTTTTATGGTATTCATAACATAGCTATAGTTCTCAATGCTCATATTTAATAAATAAGAGTTAAAAAATAAACAAGCCAGCATTCTTTATTAGCTCTCACTAGAATGTATGTAGACTGCCCAAAGTGGCCTCTACCTAGTAGCAATATTTTTCAGTCCTTTTTTGCCATTTCCTTTAGTGCTGGCTTAAGCTACCTGAGATGTGTTACTTTGTGTTTATCAATTTCATACAATGAGATAAATAAAGGTATATTTTTACTATTATACATAAGTGAATTATGGTAGATAGCAAACAACAGATTTTGTATTCATGAATAGTGGGTCTTTATGAGATAATTCTATTCTCCTAAACGCTTCTTTTGTCTCTCTAACAAGCATATTAGCCCAAAATCATTCTTTGTGGTATTAAGCTGCCTACTTACTATTTAAATTCCAACACTTACTCTTACATGATTATATGTATTTTCAACAGTGAGTCTTTTATGGCACACCAAGAAAGCATGCGACAGATGATGAGAAATCTTTCTGAACCTTTTGGAAGAGACCTGTTCAGCATCTCTGATGGCAGAGGAAGAGCTCGTAACCATACGGGACATGAGGATGGAGAAAATTCCTTGACTGTAAGTTCTTTATTTTAAAGTTAGTAAAGAAAAGTATTACAGAAGAATATATCTCTGACAACAGGATATGACTAATATTTATGTTATAGAAATAACTTATGTAAAAGGAGGGACCGGTTGGAAACCTGAGTTCTTTAACAATGAATTGTTAATTGTATAGAATTCCACTGTGCTACTAAAACTTTTAGCACCATAAAGTTATATATTACAAGCCAAACTTAAAACATTGTTTTCCATATGTATATAGTTTTTTCCTCACCTCATCATTTACTCCCATGTCTTACATTAGAACAGGCAAGGAAATATCATTGCATACAACACTTTTTTTTCCCACTTTAAAATAAAAAATGATAGTATAATGCTTTATCTCTATTGGACCAGGAAAAACCAGTCTTCTGCGTGGCTACCTTGGGCCTTCAAAACTGAGATTAACTTTTAATTGTATTCAAAAGCCTTGCAAAACTACAATATATATTCAGAAGTCTTGTCTGAGAGCAAAACTAAAAGGTTACAAACATACTCAACTCAAAAAAAAAAAACCAAAAAAACGGGATATTTATATACCTTAAGTATCTTCTTTTCTGCTTATTTCTATTGCTTCTTCAGCCTCAGGAATGGCAGTTCTAGAACAACAAATCCACAGGAGTTTCTTTCTAAAAGATAAATCTCTGCAATAGAAATGTAGATATTTGGAACTCAGTAAACATTTTGAATTGGTCAGTTGGGAAACTTCCCGAATCTTCCAGGAAAACATTTTCGTATTTTCTATTTGCAGTGGTCTTAAATAGAGCAAAATGTTTCAAATACTCCTAAGACGTTTGATGGATAACATTGCATTTGCCATTTAAATGAAAGTAATCTTCACCTTCTTTTTCCCATACATATTATTCCAATATATATATATATTAATTACATTCCAGTTATTTTTTAAATTAGTTAATGTGGTATCATTATATATATTTTTTACTGTTAGGGCTATAAATTTCCATAAAAGTTGAAAATTAAGGTCAAAGGAAAAAATTGTCAAAGAGAGCAGAAAAATCAAATATGACATTCTGAAATTTTATCTTTCACATGAGCATTGAAGCATTTTATATATCTGCTATAACCACAGCAAAGAAAGAGTAGGGCTGTACATAGTGCTTTGTATTTACGTGCATAAATGAGCTACTCGTAGCCTTTGTAGAAAAAGAAGTGACAATTTTATTCCCTTGTAAGCATAGAAAGGAGATCTGTTTATAATTCAGCTATAAAGTTCTTATTGAGGATGCCTAAGCTGTAACTCTGCTGGTCATCCATTGGAAGTAGAAGTAAATGTTTCTTTCCTGGGTACTTGTGCTTAAAACATCGGAATGTTTAATGAGCTGGAATAAGAAATATATGAAACCAAATAAAGAGATAAATTTCTGTGAAACTGTAGCTTATACGATTCATAATTTAGAACTATTTGTATTTTAGCTTGCCTCATATTTACCTTGCCAATGTGGCTTGAAATCAAGTTTTGGGGAACCAAAAACACCTACACAGCTGAAGTAATATGGTTGCATAAATATGATGATTGAATAAGGAAAGTCAAGCAGGAAAACAACTCTGAATATAAAGGAAGGCCAAGAACAACATTTGAATGAAAAACTAAAATAGTTGCTACCTTGTCTGGTTTATAGTGACATAAATTAACTTTTGTGTAAGATTGTTAATCATAGATGTAGGCTAAAGTCTGTAGCATTATCCAATAGAACATTCTGGACGATGCAAATGTTCTAAATCTGCCCTGTTCAGTGTGGTTAGCCACATATGGCTATCGAGCACTTGAAATGTGCCTAGTGCTACTGAATTTTTAATTAAATTCTAATTATTTTAAAACTAATTTTAAATAGCCACACGTGGCTATCGGCTACCTTAATGGAGAGCATGATGATATTCAAATAGACTGGAAAGCTTTTAGCTTTTTTTTAAACCAATGCTGAGTAAAGTACACTAATCACCTGTATGTGAACCTATCGTCTTATGTTTTAATTTAATAAAAATCTCTTTAAACATTTTCCCAAGAAAAACTGCAGTACTCATCTACCTATTAAATAAAAAGTAAATGGTAATTTTTACTATATCAGATTTAGACAAAACCATTTCATAAAACTTTGAGTTTTATAACTTTTTATATAGTCAATACTGCTAGGTAGTATTTAGTTGCCTCTCCCATCTAAAATCAAGTAGTATACATTCTTCTTCAGTTACATTATATTGTATCAACTGTCTTAGAAAGCTAACACCAGTGGGTTTTTTTCTTGTTCAAACTATGAAAACTCTTTGCCAACCAAGAGTACTGAGCACTGTCCTAGGGCAGTTGAAGGGCAGTAGTAATTTTTAAATATAGAAATTTCATCCAGTTTTACAAGGAACATTCAGCTTCTCTTTTAGCCAAAACACTTTTTCTTTCCTGGTACATTATAATTTATACTGGTGAGATATGGCTCACCTTTTTTTCCCTAGGGTGTGATACATTTGACATATTTATGTCTCAGTATGAAAGAGTTATGTAATAGCAAAACTAAATAAATTAATTAAAAGAAAACAAAAACAAACAAACAACAGTAGCAACAGAAGGCCTGTATCCTAACTTGACTTTTCTAAGTCAGTGTCTCATAACTAGATGTGAAAGTAGAAACAGAAGTTAGAAATTGACTGCAAAAGATGAAAAAGATGGCTGCCTAGTTTGAAAAGAGCACAGTGAAGAAAACAGTAGACTTTTTGAGCATGCTGGCTGTTCTATTTGAACTTTTATTAACAGTTTACACAAACTTTTTATTCTCTTTTTATGAAGTTATAAATTTTAAAATGAGTATTTTGATTAAGTAGCGAGCCATATGCTGATGCTTTTAAGCATAGTGGATGAAAATTTATATTTCAAATAGACACTTGATAACTTTTTTCTTTATTTTTGGCCCATTTCTTGACGTTTGTCATCTTTAACAGCCCTATTAGGAGGGAAAACAGAGACACCTACAGAAGTAGAAGAAGCATCAGCTTTGCCGCTTTCCTGTGTTTGTACTATTAGCATTTTCTTCAGTTCATGATTTCTTTATTGGGATACTTTTAAGCCAGTTGTCCATTTTGAGAGGATTGGTTTGTTTAAAACTATAATTTAGCCTGTAAATTTATTTAATTAGGCAGTTTATAATTCAAGATATGACATGTGACCATTTGACAATTAGATTGAGAGATGGTGCCAGAGTCAATGTAAAATCTGTTTTTCCTTTCAGTAAAAAGAAACAGAAAGAGGAATTTTACTGGTACATCAATACACTTTGGAGATTACTGTTCTACATATACAGTATAAGTATATATCAACTGATATAACTTATAAAATTGAATATAAACACAGTTTTCTCTAGTTTTTTTGTCATAACTTACACAGGGAGAAAATTATCACAGAATAATGGTAAAACTTTATATATACCTTTTACCAAGAAATTCAAAATTTATTTTCAACATTTAAAACTTCCAAGTAATGAAAGTTTTTAATTTGTATACGAATCTAAAAATTTATTTTCATTCATCTGTACCTATTGAGAAATATAATTTATGAACTATTAATTTTGATTATTCTATCTATTATACTTAATGTTCTTTCTCCTATCGAAGACTCCAAATATCTTTAAATATCTATGTGTGATCCTTTCTGAAGTCCATATTACTTATTCCATAAATTAGTTCTTAGGAGGTATTCATTAAATTTTTGGCCGAATATCTCTACTAATTTTTTGAAATGTTATTAATTTAGATACTTTTGATTTTTAACAGGTTAAAGGAAAGATTAACCGATTTTTTTAAAAATATGGAATAGTTGAACAAAGGAAAGATGATATAATCTTAATCATTGTACCTTATGTGTTAATTTTGGTGTGAATTTGCATTTCCTTTGAGAAATGTTTGTCTCAATCCATAGCAAATACTTTCTCTTTCAACTTCCTTTAACAAATACTAGAGTAGTCTTATTTAAAAGTGATATATGGTCCCTCTATTTGCCTGCCAGGATCCTGTCAGGCTCTACAATGAATAATAAGCAGATAACTTTAAAAATATATGTTGAATTCTTTTTGATTAAAAGGTTCTGTAATTTGGTTAGCTCTGAACTGTGTGATTATGCAGTGCATTTCTCTCTTTTTCAGAGATTGTTATATAATAAATATCATAACCAAAATTAATTGGATTTTTTTCTAGGTGATGAGTTCTCTTGTGCCTTTTGGCAGTTTTGTTAGTATGGTTCATATCATAAGACACAAACCATTTGAGCAATATTTTCTGACAAATATTTATTTTTCATTAACTCAAGCAAACTGAATTGGCATGCCCAATTTCATAATGGCTTTTTAGCATTTGTTACTGAAAACTTGTGTCATGTGTTAAATTTATCTTAGAGTGTTTCGGCCTGTGTTTTGTGAAGTAAGTAATATCAACATAATAAAATCAGTTTTCCAAAAGAAATAGTACATTTTAGTTGATGACTACTCACTTGATTTGCAAAAGGGATCCCCACAGTTGTGTTTAAAAGTTGGAAACTTCCCCAAGCTTATGAAGACTTTTCAAAAGGTGAAAAACCACCAAACTGTAGATAGACAAGCACATCTGGAAAAGCTCAGATTGGCTGCTTTCTCTAGGGCTCTATTGCCAATTCATTCATGCGTTTCCTTTCCCATGTTCAAGCATGGCTACTCTGCAACCAGCTTTTCTCCCACCCCTGTTTCTCCAGGCCTTTGGTCCTGTTTTCTGTGGCTCTAGCTTCTAACACATTAAAGGCAATCTGAGGAGTAACAGAGAATAGCATCACCTTGGAACATTTCCTATGGACGCACCTATGCTCTCATGAAAAAGTTTTTTTATTCTCTTGTGCTAGACTTCAGCCATTTCTCTCCTTAAAGTTTGACATATAACATTTGTCCTTCCTGACCAGAGTTTTTAGTGGGACAAGTGATGAAGGAAAAAAAAAACAGCTATAGCACAGAGTTATCAGTAAAAATGATCAGGAAGTTCAGCATGCTGTGGGAGCACAGGCAGAAAAAAGCCTGTAGCCCAGACCTTTTGGGATGGTGGAGTGGAGGTCAACTAGAGAACACTTCCTGAACCTTAAGGATTAATAGGAGTTAGCCAGGAAAATCTGGGAGGGGAGAAGAAGAGTGCTCAACACAGAGGAAACAGCATGTGCAAAAACCTAGAGGCTAGGGAGCTCAAAGATGTTTAAGGTCATTTGGCCCTAGGATGTGAGTTGGAGAGTGTGTATAGATGAGGATGGAGAGGTAACCAGGGGGACTTCTTTTGGCCCTGGTAAGGATTGTGGACATTATCTTAAGAGCAGGGGGAGCAATTGATGAATTTTCATCAAAACAGTAGTAGAATCAGGTTCTCATTTTTTTTTTTTTTTGCGGTACGCGGGCCTCTCACTGTTGTGGCCTCTCCTGCTGTGGAGCACAGGCTCCAGACGCACAGGCTCAGCGACCATGGCTCTCGGGCCCAGCCACTCCGTGGCATGTGGGATCTTCCCGGACCGGGGCACAAATCCGTGTCCCCTGCATTGGCAGGCGGGCTCTCAACCACTGCGCCACCAGGGAAGCCCCCAGGTTCTCATTTTTTAAAGATCATTGTGCCTGCAGGGAGGAGAGAGATTAGAAGGGATCACAGTGGAGACACGGAGACTAGGAGGCTGGGAAGTATTAGTGATAGCTTCTACTCAGGTAATAGCTGTGGTGATAAAGAGAAATAATCTCCTTTGAGAAAGAGTTAAATAGGTGAATGGATAGAACTTGTTGATAAATTGGGTTGATGGATCAGTAGAGAGGGAGAAGGGAAGTATTATGCTTATTTTCGTGGCATCAGGAATTAGGTAGATGGGAATGCCACTGAGCTAGGAACAGAGCATTGATGCAGTGCAGGTATGAGGGCAGGGGTGTTCAGAAAGGTCATTTCAATTCTGGGTGTTTTGCATTTGAGGCATCTGTGGGCCGTCCAGGTGGGATTTACCTGGTAAACAGTTGGATATATGGGTTTGAGCTGAGCTAATTAGTTAACTAATTAGAGATAATTAGTTCATTCATTCAGCAAATATTTATTGAGCCCTCCTATGTGCCAGGAGTTGTTTTTAAAGTATTGGGAATTAGTAGTGAGTAAGACAGAGAATATAGCCCTGCCTTCACAGAGATTATTTTTACAGAGTGGGAAGACAGACAATAAACAACAAAATAATTTCAGATCGTCAAAGTACTCTGAAGGAGATGGAGTAATGATATAGTGACAGGTGGATGTGAGGCAGAGATTAGTTTAGACAGGTGGGCTTCTTAAGGAGGTGATACTTGAATGATTAGAAGAAACTATACTGAGAGTCGGGAGAAAACATTCTAGGCAGAGAAGAGCAGCTGTACAGAGTTCCTGAAGGCCTCAAAAGCCCACTGGAATCTCCGCTCTAATTTGTAGCTCCACTTTTTTGTCAAGGCGTTGGGCCACCCCATAGCAAGTACAGATACATCTTTCGATGGCTGATTTGATAGTGAATTGAGAAGAGACAGAATATACCCCAAACATCGGATCTTTTTCTCCTCCTCCTCCTCCTCCTCTCCTTCCTTAGGCCAGCCCTTCTGTCTCTCTTGAATTGTTCTCTCTTATACAGCCTTGATTCTCAACCTAATGTTGAAGCAAAAAATTCACAACATTTCCTAATTGTGTTGAATCTCTGAAATGCAGATTAATTCTGTTGTAGTCCTTTGCATCCTAAAGATGAATCAGTATCTCCTAAATGTGTCTTTGTTGTTCCCTACTGTGCTAAGTGCAGATTCTAAAAAGGAATTTGCTTTTTTCATCTATTTCCTATTGTAACTAGCAATAAAAACCCAGTAGAAGGCAGAGACATAAACAGGCCTTTGATGATTCTTTACTGAGTCCCAGCTTGGCACAAAGCAAAAGAATATCCAGAAGGGCTGAAATACCAGCATTGAATAACAGTGCCTTACAGGATTCAAAACACTCCTCCTGCTTGAGCAGGGGAGTTCCTTGAACTAAACACTCCTTATAATAGTAGATGATGCTTTGGGTGACACACTAGAATATGTGCTTCACTTTTTGATTCCTGGTGATTGTTCCAGTGATAAAACCCAAAATCAATAGCAGATCTTTCTAGAGCAGAGTTTTGCAGGCTTGACACCACTACTTTCACGTTGGGCTGGATAATTCTTGTTTTTGGGAGCTGTCCTATGCTTTGTAGGATGTTTAGCAGAATCCCTTGCCTCTACCACTAGATGCCGGTCATATACCCTCCCCAGCTGTGGCAAACAAAAATGAGTATAATTATTGCCAAATGTCCCCCTGGGATCAAAATCACTCCTGGCTAAGAAACTACTGTTCTGGAGGAATTCTTAACTGTTCTTCTAAAGGAGCATACCTCTGGAGGCATCAGGCTCCCCAGCTTCAAACTATACTACAAAGCTACAGTAATCAAGATAGTATGGTACTGGCACAAAAACAGAAATATAGATCAATGGTACAGGATAGAAAGCTCAGAGGTAAACCCATGCACATATGGTCACCTAATTTATGACAAAGAAGGCAAGAACATACAATGGAGAAAAGACAGTCTCTTCAATAAGTGGTGCTGGGAAAACTGGACAGCTACATGTAAAAGAATGAAATTAGAGCATTCCCTAACACCATACACAAAAATAAACTTCAAATGGATTAAAGACCTAAATGTAAGACCAAACACTATAAAACTCTTAGAGGAAAACATAGGAAAACACAAACCATATATGTGGTTTGACATAAACCACAGCAAGGTCTCTTCTGACCCACCTCCTAGAGTAATGAAAATAAAAACAAAAATAAACAAATGGTACCTAATTAAACATAAAAGCTTTTGCACAGCAAAGGAAACCATAAACAAGACCAAAAGACAACCCTCAGAATGGGAGAAAATATTTGCAAATGTAACAACAAAGGATTAATCTCCAAAATATACAAACAGCTCATGGAACTCCATATCAAAAAACAAACAATCCAATTAAAAAATGGGCGGAAGACCTAAATAGACATTTCACCAAAGAAGACATACAGATGGCCAAGAGTCACATGAAAAGTTGCTCAACATCACCTAATTATTAGAGAAATGCAAATCAAAACTGCAATGAGGTATCACCTCACACTGATCAGAATAGCCATTATCAAAAAATCTAGAAACAATAAATGCTGGAAAGGGTGTGGTGAAAAGGGAACCCTCCTGCACTGTTGGTGGGAATGTAAATTGATACAACCACTATGGAGAACAGTATGGAGGTTCCTTAAAAAACTAAAAATAGAACCCCCATATGACCCAGCAATCCCACTACTGGGCATATACCCTGAGAAAACCATAATTCAAAAAGAGACATGTACCACAACGTTCATTGCAGTACTATTTACAATACCCAGGACATGGAAGCAACCTAAACGTCCATCGATAGATGAATGGATAAAGAAGATGTGGCACATATATACAATGGAATATTACTCAGCCATAAAAAGAAACAAAATTGAGTTACTTGTAGTGAGGTGGATGGACCTAGAGTCTGTCATACAGAGTGAAGTCACAAAGAGAAAAACAAATACGGTATGCTAACACATATATATGGAATCTAAAAAAAAAAAAAAGTACTGATGAACCTAGTGGCAGGGCAGGAATAAAGACGTAGACATAGAGAATGGACTTGAGGACACGAGGTGGGAGGGGGAAGCTGGAGCGAAGTGAGAGTAGCATCGACATTTGTACACGACCAAATGTAAATAAAATACATAGCTAGTGGGAAGCAGCAGCATAGCACAGGGAGATCAGCTCAGTGCTTTGCAATGACCTAGAGGGGTGGGATAGGGAGGGTGGGAGGGAGGCTCAAGAGGGAGGGGATGTGGGGACATATGTATGCATGTGGCTGATTCGCTTTGTTGTGCAGCAGAAACTAACACAGTATTGTGAAACAATTATACTCCAATAAAGGTCTATTAAAATAAATAAATTAAATAAATAAATAAATAAATGAGCATACCTCATGCTTCAAGTGTATGCCCTACTGAGCTGGAGTGGTAGGCAGCAAATCCAAGGACTGTTAGTGGAGTGAATCAACGTATATCACTTGGGTCCAAGTCTGATGGAAAGGAGGACTGATTACTCCAGAGGCAGCTTCTATCACCCATGTTGGACTGCTGGAAGGAACACTGTCATCTTATACTTGGGTTTTATTTATTTGCCTGGTAGGATATCCAGAAGGAAGAAGGAAAAATTGGAAGACTAGTCTATGCTAGAGCTGTCCCACAGCCAAGGATACACCGCTCAGTATTTAAATATTAACCAGATTATGTTATGAGCAAGTTGAATTTTATGTGTGTGTATTTATATCTTGCATGTATATATGTGTGGATATATACACATGTATGTATGCATGTATTTATAGTGTTACAACTCCCTAACCATTTGTATGTTGGCTGTTTAGGATTGTGTATGCTTCAAATTCTTCTTTAACAAATCACTTTCATTATATAGTCCTTAAATTATCTTTGCCTGGTCGATCACTGCATGAGACCCCACAGCAAAAATCAAAAAAAAAAATTTCAGCTGTTTTGGGAATGTTGATTTGCTTCCTTTGTGTTGTGCTTATAGTTAATAACATACTTCCTAATATCCTATAGCGTACAGATGTCAACCCTTTTCAGGCAATGGACCGAATGATGTTAAATATGCGAAACAGCATGCAGGAATTACAAAGAAACTTTGTAAGTACTAAAAGATTGATGAGAATGTTATTTTCAGTTATTGGTATCCTATATTATAGTGGCTTTCAGCCTTTTTCTAACCATGGTCCACAGTGATTGAAAAATATATCTTACATCATGACAGTACTTGTGTACTGTATATATTTTACACCTGAAATAAAAATTTCATGAGAAAATAATCATACTGTTTACAGCATGTGCTGATATTTTCTATTTTACTTCATATTTTAAAAATCCTGGTCACAACCTACTAAAATGATCTCAGAACCTGCAAGTTTGAAAAGCAGCGTTAATTAGACTTTCAAAATAAAAACATTCAACTTCAAAAACATTTATTCTGCTGAAGATCACTATTGTAAATGAATGTTTTATATGAATTTAGATTTTTTTATTATGTATAACTTGTCTACTTAAAAAGATTTGTAGCATCTAAGAAATTAAGTTTTAGTGTTAAAAAATAACTCTGAAAATAGAAATTTCAGGAATGATGTTTAGGTACTGGATTAGATTCATACAGTCCAAACACTTATAAACTAGTACTAATACTCTTACTTTTCTACTCATGATATTAATCAAAATAACTTGATTCAGTATGAAGACCACCCATATTATTTTAGTCATCCATTTTGAAATCTAAGGATCATTTCAGAATGTCCAAATCTAGGACATTATTAATGATTTTAGAAATGTAGCAGTTGGTACCCACAGAAGGTATAAAACTTCTTGGCATATGGCTGATTGGCTCAACATTGGCAAAATTGCACACAAAAGTCAACCACTGACTATAAAAGTATTACATGCTTCAGGGTACGGCATCTATAAATTTAAGCTACAAGTCTTTGACCTCAAAGATTTGAGGATTTCTAAATGAATCACTTATTATTTATTATTCCTTACAAGGAGAGTGTGAATTGGTACCTAAAATGGAAGGAGGTTAGGGCCTTCATGGGGGTACCATTTGGACATCATACTGATCATATATACTATCTTTAGTAGAACTTCTAGCTAGTGTTGTTACTTTATTTGAATCCTTTGACATTATTTCTTCGTATTTGACTGAACTCACTGGATTTACAATTTATATTTACCTCTAGGGTCACCTTTCAACGGATCCAAATGGACATTCGTTTAGTTCTTCCTCAGTTATGACTTATTCCAAAGTAGGAGATGAACCACCAAAGGTTTTCCAGGCCTCAACTCAAACCCGCAGGGCTCCAGGAGGAGTAAGTATTTTCTTGGAACTTCATAAAGTTGTGGAATCATAGATCACCTATATCAAATTTTAACTATTAAAATTTGACCTGGTACTGGTCAGGGGAAGGGATGGGGGGAGAAAACACAGGTCAGTGTGAAAAGCAATAAAACTAACTGTATTTATGTATTTATTTTGAGGCATTCTTTGTCTCCCCCACCTACCTCCATCCCTGCCCCAGGTGCCTTTTTTCATGTTAATATCCACGGATGTTTATTAGCTTTACATGTTGACAAAGTAAGTAGACACTATAAGAAGTCTTTGTTTCATGAAATAAATGTCTACTTTTAGTTTCTATTTGAAGTAAATGAATTTTTTAACTCATAAAATATTTCAAGTATACAGAAAGGACATAGAGAATAATATAAGTACCCCATACTCCTTCAATCCAGTTTAGTCAAATCATTAACACTTTTCTCTATTTAAGTTGTCTCTTGTTTTGCTTCCTTTTTAAGCAAAGATGTTACAGATTCAGTTAAAGCTTCCAATATACTCCTCCCTCCTCCTCCTTTTCCCTTTCTCTGTCCCCCAAAGACAACCATTTTCTTATACAGGCATACCTCGTTTTATTGGGCTTCACTTTATTGCACTTCACAGATAAATTGTGTTTTTAACAAACTAAAGGTTTGTGGCAACCCTGTGTTGTCAGATGATAGCAATTTTTAGCAATACAGTGTTTTTAAATTAAGGTATGTACATTGCATTTTTAGACATAATGCTACTGCACACTTAATAACTACAGTATAGTATAAACATAACTTTTATGTGTACTGAGAAACCAAAAGAATCATGTGACTCACTTTATTGCAATATTCCCTTCATTGCGGTGGTCCAGAACAGATCCCGCAGTATCTCTAAGGTATGCCTGTACCTGGAATTTATCATTTTCATGCATGCTTTTATAATTTTATTACTTATGTATGCTTCATATACAATACAGTGAATTATTTTACAGGTTTCTAAACTTTGTATAAATGGTTTCATACTGCACGTGTCCTCTGCAGCTTGACTTTGCTCAGTAATTGCTTCTGAGATTTATTCAAGTTGATATGTGTAGCTCTGATTTCTTATTTTAACTTCTATATAAATGTCTAAAATATGAATATACCACAGTTTTTTTTGTTTTGTTTTGTTTTGTTTGCGGTACGCGGGCCTCTCACTGTTGTGGCCTCTCCTGTTGTGGACAGGCTCCGGATGCGCAGGCTCAGCGGCCATGGCTCACGGGCCTAGCCGCTCCACGGCATGTGGGATCCTCCCGGATCGGGGCACGAACCCATGTCCCCTGCGTCAGCAGGCGGACTCCCAACGACTGCGCCACCAGGGAAGCCCTATACCACAGTTTTTTAATCTATTTTTCTATTGATAGATATTAAGGTGTTTATAATTTTTCACCTATTCATCTTTATACCTGTCTGCTCGTGCAAAAGAGCTAGGAATGCTATTGTTGGATCGGAGGAGACGTGTGTCTTCATCCTTACCTAGAAATCACCAAGTTATTATCACACAGTGATTGAGACGATTAGCTCCCACAGACTTTGGTATGAGTTCCCATTTCTCCACTTCCTTGTTAGTACTTATAGTAAAGAAAATTTGGGTTTGCCTGTCTAATGGGTGACTTAAATGAAAATAGAATATATAAGTCATTTCACGAGTGCTGAATAATTAGTTGCCCTTTCTTGTAGGAATGCTAGTATGTACTCCCATCTATTAATTGTCAAGGACAGTGTTGAAGGCACTAAGTTTAATATAATTAAGTTATCCTTTGTTTTAATAATTATATTGGTTCTGTTTGTCCTAGACATTTTAATTGTAAGCAGTTCAGGAAATATCAGAGAACTATTACCATAATTTTACTACAAGTTGGTAGTGGAACTGAGTACCCATTATTTTTAGAGCAGTAGATTTATATTCTTACCTCTATAGGTAAACAGGTTCTGAGGAGTTTATAGTCTATATTTATTTAAATAATAACTAATTTTTATTTTCATCATTTTCACAGGTAAAGGAAACTAGGAGAGCACTGAGAGATTCTGAGAGTGGACTAGAAAAAATGGCTGTTGGTCATCACCTCCGTGACCGAGCTCATGTCATTAAAAAGTCAAAGAACAAGAAGACTGGAGATGAAGAGGTCAATCAAGAGTTCATCAATATGAATGAAAGTAAGTTATCAGAGAAAATAGCATTCTTCCTCTCAAAGTTAAAATAGCAGCTGTACCCATAGAACTTGGTGAATATTTTTTATAGAAACATTTTATATGATGTTTCAGACAGTTTATGAATTGTAAATGTAGAGAATATGTTATCAAAATAGTAATAAAATTGTGGTTTCAGTGTTTCATTGTAGATCTGTTTTTTATAGTGATTTTTGTTAATGTGGAGTATCATTTATTTTTTTATTTTATACTTGGAAAATGGAATCTTTTGAATTGTTTTTTAGTAAGACTATCAGTAGGAAATCGAGTTTTTATTTATTTCTGATATCAAAGAAGTACATTCGAAAAGTATAAAAAAGTATAAAGAAAATTAAAATTATTCATAACTCCAACCCCAAATAACTACTATTAATGTTTTAGTGTATTTCTTCCTAATAGTTTTATGTATTGATATATATAAACATACAATCACACATACTGTTTTTCAGAATTTGTATTTTACTATCTATATAGTTTATATTGTGCTTATTTTAATTCCCCACTATAATTGTGAACAGTCACCTATGATGTTACTTTTCAGAAACATCCTAGATGGTTACCTAAAAGTTTTATCATGAATTGGCCATAATTTATTTCAACTATTCTGTATTGTGGAGCACTTAGGCTTTTGTATAGATAAGATTTAAATTTCTGGTGTTGTTAGATAATAAATTACATATATATCAAGCAAATCTTTCCATTTCTTAGATTTTATATTCATTCTTCAACTCATTTAAGACTTCCTAACTTTTTTCATTATAGTTTTTAAGCTGTATTCATTTCCTGTTTTTAGAAAGTATTTTGAATAAAAATGTTTTATCATAGTAAAGGGTTTAAATTATATGATTTTAGAAAAAAATTCTCTTGGAGCTGGATAAAATTATTCTTATGCAATGAGATGGAAGCCACAACATCTTAACCTCTCTTTAATTTTAACCTTTGTAATTTGGCCATATTTAAATATATACAGAGTACTTCACAATAATGAACATACTGAAGAAAATTTTAGTAAAGTAACACATTATTATAAAGGCAATCTGAAAGAACACGTATTATCATTTACTTTTTGTTATTATGGAATTTAGATTACCTACTTCATAACAACATGAACTGTCAGATGAGTAATCTGTCTCAGGAAATTGAAAAAGAAGCTTGTGAGGCCAAACTGAGGACAGGAAGTGCTAGGCACAGGAGGAGTGTCCTCCCAGTAAGAGGAAGAGTAGCATCACCATGAGATGACCCAGGAAGAAAGCCTGTTAGTGTCGCTGGGTCATGGGGTCCATTGGATAAGTAATGTGATATCCAGGCAGGTGTGTGAAAAACCAGATCATCCATAACCAAATTATCAACAGGAATAGGAGAGGAACAAAGAGAAAAGGAAATATTACTCTGAGTCAAAGACCTTTTTATTTGAAGCAGTTTCCTGCTTCTACTTTAAGGTTAGGCTGATGGAAACACCAGGCTAGAGTGAAATGTGTGGGGAGCAAGGCAATTACTGACAGCTGATACCTTAATACTTACCCCTTTATTTTGATATTGGATGTAGGTGATGCTCATGCTTTTGATGATGAGTGGCAAAATGAGGTTCTGAAGTACCAACCAAGGGGACAATGGCACAATCTAGAAAACTCTAGGATGCGAAGCGTTGGTCATGAGAATTCAGGATCCCGAGAACTTAAAAGAAGGTAAAAGTTATTTCTAAACTAAGCTGTGTTTTTTAAAGACAAATTAGAAGAGAAGTTATGTAATTTTACCTCTGTTATCGGGAAGTTTTGATTAACATCCAAGTTGTTTGTATCAATAATATCTTTTGTGAAAGATGTAATAACTTTATATTATTTCTGAGTATTCCAACACAAATTTAAATTTGTATCTGAAAACCAATAGTATTTTAGGATTATATGACTAGTACCTCACTAGCAAATTATGCTTTAGACAATGGGGCTAAAATCCTCCTAAGGTAAAGCAATATACTATAATGCAGTTATTCTTGTGAAACAGATTTTCATCTGGATAGAGTAGGAGTCATACATTTTGTACCAGGTAAAGATACTGGTGTTTAGGGATATGGTAAGGGGAGAGGAACTGTAGCTAAAAGGCTGAACAAAACTTCCCTAACAAGTCAAAATTGAGCATTTAATGGTAAAAAGGTTTTTAGACCCTTGTATAATATGTAACAGTATCTGTATTAGATATCAAATATTTTGGAAGAGTTTTGCAAAAACTTTAGCCTCCTTTGGAATTACCGTTTGGAATAGCTGCAAAATATGAACGTGCTAATACCACACTTTTATAGAGATTATAGAGATTTTGACACATTTAGTATATATTCTAGAGTTACAATTTTATTTGATACTCTGGGGGAACAATTGAAAACACTACCTAAATCCTATTGAAAATTAGACTCGAGAGAGAGAGGGCTCAGCTGGCCTGAAAACAGAAATCTGTTCTAGGCTCTAAGAGAGTGGAGAATTGCTGCAGAAGGTGGAAGCCTTCCCAGAACCAGCGGTCGACAAGTGGGTACCAAGTAAATTAGAAGACTTGTGCAGAATTTCATGTGCTAGCATCTTTTATTTTAAAATACTTGTTTAGGAATTTAGAGCCCCAATGTTTTCTTTATAAATCTTGCTCTCATATTAATTTTAGATAATATTTGTCTCACTTTGAAAAGTTTATTGATAAAAACCTAACAGTGCTAAGTTTGACTATGAAATCCAGGTCCCAGTTAGAGAAAAGCATGCTCTTTATAGATGATCTATAAATTTATGGCCTATCAGTGGCATTTTCTGTAAACCAGCACTGTCCAATAGAACTTTCTGAAATGATTTTTTGCAATGACGAAAATGTTAGGCATCTGTACTGTCCAATATGGTAGCCAGTAGCCCCATGTGGCTATTGAATCACACTTGGAATGTAAACAATGCAGCTGAGGAACTTAATTTTTAAATTTTATTTTATTTTAATTAATTTAAATGTAAACGATGTGGCTAGTGGCTACCATGTTGGACAGCATGGTTCAACGGTAAACAGTTAAATCTATCTCAGGAAAGCAGCTGTTGCTTTCTAAAATGTTAAGTGAAATACTCTGCCATATGTTTTTCAAAGCTATTAAGGAACCTTTAAGATAAAACTCACCTTAAATTACAGTGGTCTGTATCATGTTTGTATTGATTTTTTTAATGACCATTTAAAAAATGGTATTAATGTTCACATGTATATTTCTCAGGGAGAAACTGCATCAAAGTCCAGCCATTGAACGTGGAAGAAGATCAAATGTTTATGTGGACAAACTCAACATCAAAGGATCACCTGTGAAAATCAACAAAAAATAAATAGCATTGCACTTGATTTGCTTAGTTTTGGTTGTTTGAACAGAGAAAGTAATGGTGCTGAGTAATACACCTAAGACCAATTGCTTGTTATTAAATCAACACTGTGTTCTTAGCAACTTTCTTCTGGATTTCCTTGGAAGTGCTAGCTTTATGTTGTCCCTACTTTAGGAATAAAACTTTAATGTTCAATAGTGCAAGCTGTTAAACATTCTATAACACTCTTTAAAACATAACACATGCTGATTTTGCTTTCACAATTATTTTCCTATTGGCTCTGTATTCCCCTATATATTCAAGATTGAATGTACAGTTAGCTGTTCTATCATATAAAATTAGTTAAAAGAATAAACTGTAAAAAAATAGTCTCAGTTTTTACTAACACTATAATAAGGTGATGTTAACAAAGGTTAAAATTATTTAGCTCAAATTTTATAATGTGTTATGTAGCCAGCTAGCTTAAAGATTTTTTTTTTCTTTTTTGCTGTATGCGGGCCTCTCACTGCTGTGGCCTCTCCCGTTGTGGAGCACAGGCTCCGGACGCGCAGGCTCAGCGGCCATGGCTCACGGGCCCAGCCGCTCCGCGGCAGGTGGGATCTTCCTGGACCGGGGCACAAACCTGTGTCCCCTGCATCGGCAGGCAGACTCTCAACCACTGTGCCACCAGGGAAGCCCAAGAATTTTTTTAAATAAAGCAAAACTATACTAGTACTCTTTTACAAAAAATTAGTTATTGTTTTGATAAAGAACATAAAGAATAATCAAATAGTTCCTTTTCAAAGAGATTTTAAATTGTTAATATACATGAATTTTCTTATCGTTTCTTTATACAGTGTATTCTTTTTTTGTTCTGTGTTACATTTTCAACATTCGACAGACTTTATATTGACCTTTCTCTTTAACATCTTAAGGTAGCATATTTCTGTTCTCCTTTCTCACAGACAGCTTAATCTATCTCCACGGTTAACATTCTAAAGTTGCAGTGTCCTTGGAGAAACTCTGCTCGGCCTTTTTGTGACATTTAGAAAAATGCATTTGGTATTCTGCAAACCTGAATGATTGATTGTCTCAAAATTTCTTAGACAGGCGAAGTGTGTTTGAGCAAGGTACTTAATAATTCAATTGTTCCCTTTTTAAGTATACTATTTAAAAATTCAGCTCTTGGGTTTTTTTCATTCTAGAATGTGAGCATTAATCTGTTTTTATAAAGTTAGGCATGAAGTTTGTGAGAATATATAATCTTAACTTTTAAGTTTTTGTTGTTTCAAGGGGGGAAAAACAGAATCGATTATCACTCTATATAATCCTAATATCTTCCCTTTTAAATTTTGGAAGTAGAATTGTGTGATTGTGCTTATACTCATCTAATTTTCTATATCATATCCTGTTCATTTTACTAGTCAGTGTTTCGTGCCTTTAATTAGTCACTAAAATAAGATGCATATGTGTCAATTCATTTTTTATAATGGAAAGCAATTGAGCAAGTATTAAAGATGTTAAAATTTTCCTCTTATGGATAATTTAGTATACTAATAACATACTATTACATACTGGGAAGTTATCATAAGGCATCCATTTGAAATAACACTTCTGCATAAATTCCCTAGACAGAGCAAAATCCCGGTAGACAGTGTAATTATTCTCCTTTTGCCTGAATTATTACACTGAAGTTAACTTGAATCATTATATTCAAATATGAAAACACATTTTAATAAATAATTGTACTTAAAACAGTATAACTTCTATGCATCATATAACAGAGAATTCATAGATCCTTTTTTCATCTCAATTTGTTTACCGTAGAAATCAAATTAAAATTGAATTAGATATATATTTCCTCCTACGCCACAGTGCTTCCTAAGGGGCCACTTACAAAATATGTGACATCTGGAGATTAAATGTTAATTCTTTATGTTCACACGATGCTGAAATTAACTTTTTTCAGAATTTATTTTTATCTTCATTCTGAAGTCAACTAGTATAAAAAAGAAGGCTCGCCATAGCTTGTAGTTCACATGTTATTTTTTCTTTATTGACAACCACTGATCTTTCTGGAACGCTGGGTCTTTGGGGAATGTAAGGATGTTAACTATTTTGTGAATGTGGCCTTGACAATAAGTCCAAGTTGAAAACTTAGGCTCCTTGCTACTTTAGTGATTTTCCTGGTAACTTTCAGTCTCAGTGACAGGTTTTCATTATTTATCTTTAGGACTTCATTATCTTTTATTGTTACAGGGCAGTGGCAGGAGCACATTGGTATCAGATGGTGCCCTACGTGTGGCAATGTGATGGTGTTTGGAGGTGGTGCCTTTGGGAGGTGATTAGGTTATGAGGGTAGAGCCCTCATGAATGGGATTAATGCCTTTGTAAAAGGGACCCTAGAGAGCTCCTCCACCCTTTCTGCCTTGTGCCCACACAGTGAGAAGTTGGCTGCCTATGAACCAGGATGTGGGACACATCAGACACTGAATCTCCTGGAACCTTGATCTTGATCCCACCTTGCAGATCTATGAGAAATAAATTTCTGTTGTTTACAAGTCACCCCATCTATGGTATTTTTGTTATAGCTGCCTGAATGGACTAAGGCAATGATGGTCTTAGGCTAGTCAGGCTCGGGCAATTTGGAGATTCTACTGAGGTTTGACCTAGACCCTTACTGCAGTGAATCAGGACCTTCACTGAATTTATCTTTATTCTTATAAAGATAAGATATAAAAGTTATAACATATAACTGGCAAAGTTATGGCAAAGTTATAAAATGACTATGAATTAATAGAATGTGTAACTGGTTTGAATGATATAATGTATGTGTATTTTGCCACTTTAAAACCTAACAGAAGTAATCTATAATGTGTACCCATATAAAAATTTAGCTAGACAGTTCTTGGCCTTTTGTCCTCTAGTTTCCTCTGCGGAGAAAACAAGTTTATTACTTTGGTTAAAAGTGGTGATTAATAAAAATAATTAAGAATATACTTGGTATAATAATTACAGAAAAATATGAATATATATGTACACACACAGAGGACAATGAGTATGAATTTTTACTTCAGGAAACTTAGTTTGTTAAAGTAATTTCAAAAGTAACAGATACACTTTTTTTTTTTTTTTTTCGGTACGCGGGCCTCTCCCTGTTGTGGCCTCTCCCGTTACGGAGCACAGGCTCCAGACGCGCAGGCTCAGCGGCCATGGCTCACGGGCCCAGCTGCTCCGCAGCATGTGGGATCTTCCCGGACCAGGGCACGAACCCGTGTCCCCTGCATCGGCAGGCGGACTCTCAACCACTGCGCCACCAGGGAAGCCCCAGATACACTTTTTTATTTAACGTAATTATATCTTAAAATTAAAGTAAAACCTTAATGTTATTACTATTTACGTAATTATTATTTAATTTACATATTTTAAACAAATACACAGGCTTATAAAGACTAAATTTTTGAAAGCCTACAAATAAAAAAGTTTACTTAAAAGTATTCAACATTAATGGATTGATTCATCAAAGTAAATCCTTTACTAAAAATTAATACATGGATGATATACAAAAAATAAGTACAAAATTCATCATTGAATCTCTGGTTTTTCTTTCCTTGTATCCTGTAATTTACTCTGATTTCCATTTATTCATTTAACAAATATTTATTGAGCACCTAGCACAGCAGGGGGTACAGCAATTAACAAAACCAAATCACTATCCTTGTGGAACTTACATTCTCATTGGGAGAGTCAGACAACAGACAGCTATGTAAAATGTCTGGGTGTATCTAAGAAGAGCTCTGAAGGAAAATGAAGTAGTGCAGGAACATAGGGAAGAGCTTGCTGTTTTAGAAGAGTTGGTCAGGGAACACCTCACTGATAGAGGATATTTGAACAGAGAGAAGAAGGTAAGGGAAAGAGCCATGCTGGTATCCAGAGGAGAGCACAGGCTCTGGTCATGTGAGGATCAGCAAGGAGGCCAATGTGTCTGGAGGAAAATGAGCAAGTGAAGTAGAGTTACACTGGTGTGGCTGCTCAAGCAAGACCTTGTAATGTAGGTGCTTATTCTGAAGGTTAATTTTTTTTTAATTTATTAAAATTTTTAAGGTCATTAAAAATTTCAGATTAAAAAAATTAGTTATGAAAAATTTCAAGCCTACACAAAAGTAGAGATGACAGCAACAGTGAATTCACTAGTTGAGTGATTTCAGTAGAAAAATGACATGGCCAGGCTTAAAAGGATCCCTTTAGTTACTGTGCTGGGAATAGACTGAGCAGTCGCAGGGCAGAAGCAGTAAGGTCAGTTAGGCTATTACAGTAATTCCCTCGAGATAGCAGCGCTTTGAGAGGTGGAGAGAAGCTGCCGATTCTGAATCTATTTTTGAACGTAGTTCCCATAGCATATGCTGACAGACTAGACCAGCAGAGTCAAAGAGTGGTTCAAAGTGACATTTTTGGTCTGGGCAACTCGAAGAACGGAGTTTCCATTTATCGGATGAAGACTGCAGAAGAAGGTTTTGGTGGAAGATCATTAGCTCCTTTTTGGACATATTAAGTTCGAGATGCCTCTAAGAGATCCAAGTGGAATCCTCAAGGATGCTGTCTTCTATATGGACTGGACATATAATGTTTAACATAGAACAAAGGCGGAACATTTTGAAAGGAGAAAAAGCACTTGTAGATCATTATTTTTCCACGTTCTTTACAGGTCATCCTATAGATCAATTATTTTTTCATATTTCTGTAGTAGCATAGATAACAATTTTGCATTTTTTTTTAACGTAAATTCTGTTATAAACGTCTCTGCACTCTGCTGTATGGGGAAAACAACCACGTTTAAAGGCTGCATCTTTCTGGTAGCGTGCCAAAACCCTGATTAGCTCCGCAAAGTGACTGCACTTCCTCTTCCTAGTCGGCAGAGGGCATCCTGGCAGCGGAGGGTGCTGCTCGGCTCTGAGAACCGGAAGCTTCTCCCTCTCTCTATTTTTTCTCCCCGCCCTCTCATCCTTCGCACGTGAAGTTCTTTTCCGGCACTGGTTGCCGGCGTGCCTCTGAACGCCTGTGGTAGTGGTGCTGGTTGCCGGGCAGAGCCGGAGCTGCGGGAACTTCGCGTCTGTTCTGCGCTAGCCATGAGGCTGCTGGGAACCGCCGCCGCCGCCGCCGCCGCCGCGGCTGTGGAGAGCCAGCCGCTCCCGCGGGTCCCCGCCGCCCTGTGCTGGCAATGGAAGCAGGTAGTGGAGTCCGGCGGGGCGACACCGCACCACGGACTCTCCCGGGACCTTGCGGTGTGTCCGGAGCCAGGGAGGAAGTGACACTCCTACCCTGCCTGGCACCTCCTTACTGACAGCTCCGAATGTGAGCTGTCGACCTCAGCGCTGAAAAGCCCCTCGGTATCTGCACAGCTGCTGGTTATTAATGAGCAGCGTCTCGGTGCGCTCGGAGGTTCGGCGGCCTCCGATTTACGGTTAAGCCTCTTATTTTTGGTATAACTTAGAGAGGAGAGGTGACTGGAGTGAAGGTCGAGACAACCTTCACTCGAGAAAAATTAGTGTGTCTAGGGCTCGAATCCAGGGCTTCTGACTCGTTATGCCGTGCTCTTTTCATTACAGAGTGTCGTTGGCCTGACTGATCCCTCTTTCAGCTGACCCTGGGTTGTTTGATTCGGAGCCCGACCCTCCCAGTACCTTTCTTTGGTTCTGTGTCTGCCTTTTGTGCGGGGCGCGGGGAGCGCAGAGTGGACTAGGATTAGGTAGGAGTTGAGCCTTTCCTGTCATGCAAACCTCCTTTGCTTTGCTCGCTGATATCCGTGGGATTTAATCAACCAAGTGCCGATCACCCAGATTCCATTTTACCCAGGTTTTCCAAGTTCTTCCTTTTTCCCAGAAGTGGCTGCAGTGCATTTTGGATGGGCAGTCCTATATAGAGAGATTTATATGGTGTCTTGTTTCCATAAATGCAGGATTCCCCATCACCACCAGAGTAAAATAAAGTTGTTGTTGTTGTTTTAATGTTACTAATTGTTTGGGGATGGAAAGGAATTGGAGACCTTTTGTGGGCTGCCTTGAAGCTATTGGCACCACTGCATAGAGCATATAAGTCCTCAAACTTCCTTGCTAGCTGTGAACTACAGTAAGGAGGAAGGGGGAAAAAACCAAAGTAAAATTTAGAGTAAAAACTGTATTTCCTTTTAAAGTAGTTGTTGGGAGCAGTTTTTCTGATTTTATCAGCCCCAGTGTATATTTTCAAACTTGTGCCATCCGGTAAAAGTATCTGTTCCCTTTTATTTATTTAATTAATTAATTTGAATATATCTTTTCTGACTTATTTATTTATTTTTAAGAGTATGTCTTTTCTCTTCTGTCTTGCAGCCTCTTCTTTGGTTACAGGAGTTTCAGGTTGAGACATTCCTTCTTTTGCCTTTTCAGACAATCACATATGACGTTTTGTGTCCATTGAGATTTCTTGGAGGAAAGATGTCCACTAAACCCTTTCTAATTATCCACTGTTTCCTCATGAAAAGTGCATTGAATTGAGCTCTCTTATTTTTTCAGGCTAATTGGAAGATTTGCCGATGGTATTCATCAGGGGTGATACCTAATGAAAAGATACGAAATATTGGAATCTCAGCTCACATTGATTCTGGGAAAACTACATTAACAGAACGAGTGCTTTACTACACTGGCAGAATTGCAAAAATGCATGAGGTATGTGGTTCATGGTTGATGCCATTAGTTTGACCTTGGTTTTAATTGTTATATAAGGATTTAAGAAACTTTACAAACCTGAAAGATTAAAAGAATGGTAACAGTGGATCTTTAATCAGAGTCACAAAATGGATAGATCAGGTTGGCTTGAAATGTTGCTCTGAGGAATCTTTCTAGAGACCATCACTGTGGGTATACTGAGTAGGCTGTTTTTTAAGAATGTTAAGTCAGTATGATGTACCCTTAAGCAGCCATTAAAATAATGTTTACATACTTTTAAATGTTATAGAGAGATGTTTATAATGTTAAGTGGAAAAAGGGTTTAAAATGAGTTTAATAGTTAAAAAATACATATGTCAGGAAAGAATTATTTTAGAAAATCTTGAAACTCTCCTGAAGACATTACATATTATTGAGTAATTCAACTCTCCACTTAAAAATGTTACTTCAGATGAAGATCATCTCATTAAATCACAGACTTTAAAAGCTGAATTCTTCCCACCCAGACCTCAAAGTCCACAAGAAATACAGCAGGGAAAAATCTCTTCTCTGCATATCTGCTCACAGACTAACACGGGGCTGGTGGGCAGGAACAGTGCAGAGGGAGCAAGGATGGCTCTAAGACCAGGTAATGCTCAGTGGTAGCAGCTGCTAAAAATGGCAATGAAAAAAGGGTTAGGGTTAATAGAGGGCAAAACCTGTAATCAATTTTCCACTCTATGAGATGATATGGTTTGACAATTCGGTTTCTCTGAAAATTGCATCAGTTAACTATCTGTGTTCTGGTTCCATCTGTGAAGATTTCTTTCCTTCTTGCAATGCAGGGACAGAGAAATCTGAATTGCTGTGCTTGTGTTTAGGTAAAAGGTAAAGATGGAGTTGGTGCTGTCATGGATTCCATGGAACTAGAAAGACAAAGAGGAATCACTATTCAGTCAGCGGCCACCTATACCATGTGGAAAGATGTCAATATCAACATTATAGATACTCCTGGTGAGCTAAGTTCTTGGTTTTATTGCAGCTTGTTTTGGCAGTGGCATATTTAGTTCTTTACCATGATCTAGCTCATTTTTGAGTATAAAATAATACTCAAAAGTGTGACTGTGAATTCCCTATTAGAGAAATCTGACTTGGGACCTAGAATACTTCATCTTTAAGTGGTTTCTTTGAAAAATAGTGCAAAGAAATTGTGAATAGGAATGTTCTTGCCTTTTACATGTTGCAGCTGATTCCAAAGATGCCCATGCCCTAGTATCTTTTGAAGTGATTTTGTTGAGCCCCTGAACCTTATGGTAAGTGAACAGTATTGGTGGTTTAAGGAGTTCATATTTTATTTAGAAGACATACGTAATGATCAGAGATAGAAGAACTTTTACTTGTACATGTTGTAAAAATTCATACTGCTTTTTAAGACCCCGACACAGTTCTCGGTCTCATTTAGGGCACGTGGACTTCACAATAGAAGTTGAAAGAGCCCTGAGGGTGCTGGACGGTGCCATCCTTGTTCTGTGCGCCGTTGGAGGGGTGCAGTGCCAGACCATGACTGTTAATCGTCAGATGAAGCGCTACAGTGTTCCATTTCTAACTTTCATTAACAAACTCGACCGAATGGGCTCCAACCCAGCCAGGGCCCTGCAGCAAATGAGGTACTGAACCTTAGAACAGAGCGGGGGTGATGATCCGGATAACAAACCTCACATCCAGAAGGACAGCTAATTCAGTGTCATTAAGCTTTATCCCCTTAAATTTTTTTTCCTTTTAAAAATTCATCTATGTGTATGACTTATAGTAAATGGAACACTAAGGTCCGTAGTTTGGTTTGTGATGTGATTTCATCATCTACTTTCTCTGTAAAATGGAAGAAATATGACTTAAATTTTAGGGAGATTGAAGGTGAATTCAGAAAACCATCTGGCAATTTGTAGTGTTTTGCTCTAATTAGAGAAGTTATAATCTAGGGTAGATTCTAAAAGTACTGTGCATTTATTTAGACAAAGCTAGAGGATTATCTTCAATTTTAACCTTCATTTGAGGAATTTTAATTAATGACTTAAATTAGTATGCTATATTCTCTTGCTTTTATTTGTTAACATATTTGTTAAGACAACAGCAGTACTTCCTTTCTGAATCAGACATAACCCAGTGGTATTGATATGATTTTACATTTTGCACAATACTGCGTGTTTCACGCAGCCTTTGAAAAGAGTCGGAGTTTCACTTTTCACCTTTTGTAGATGTGTAAATGTAGCGGTAGAGTTCCTACCCAAGTTTCACATGGCAGAGCTGATGGATGTAGGCAGTAAGGTTTATGGTAGTGGAGAGACTAAGAGTGATGTGTCTGATGACAGAAGATACCGTGTTGAGGAACTTTAACTGACAGTATTGCTGTGTGCTCTCTGATGGAAGTGATGTTTTTGAGAACATGGGAGTGAAATTTTTCTTTATTGGGCATTTGTAATACTTACTTGGGATAGCGAAACGTTTTCACTTTTTTTTTCTAATTATATTTTACTTGTGGTTGGCAATAGATGGTCTCTTTGCACCAAGTTTTTTCCTGAATTCCAGGCAGATTCTGTTTCAGCATTTATTTGACTACTTTGGTTCTTTCTTTGCACCACTCCCTTTTACCCGTTACCTCATTCTGTAGCTCCCATTAAACAGATCTTGAAACTTCTGAATCTGGCCTCTGTGTCTTAACTTTTCTACCATACTTTCTCATACTTTCTGTCTCCTTCTAATTTTTCACTGGGTTATGAGAGAATTTTTGAGGTCAGTCTTCCAGCTCACTAATCTGGTATTCATCTGCATCCCTTCTTTTATTTAGCCTGTTTTTTGTTCTTTTTGATCCCAGCAGTTATGTAGTTAATTTCTATAAACTTTCCTTTTATTGTGACATCTTTATTAATAGAGGTAATTCCTTTTTAGATCTTTACATTTTATTTTCTTCTAGTAACTTTCTCCTTGGAGGTTAGTACCATTTCTTGAGCTCCCACCTCTCTTGCAAGCTATTGCTTTCCTTCAGATATTTGGTGGTTCTTAGTTATCTATCCATAGTTATAGATGGGTACCTAGAATCTAGAGCATAGTTAGCTAGAGCATATTTCTACTTGAGTGTAAATCCCTGCCAGTGAGTCTGATTTCTCTTCGGTGGTTGTGCCTGATTGAGGGTACAGGCCGAGGATGAGTGTCTGACTTTAATACCCACTCTAAGGGTTTTCCCCCTAAGGAACTTCCTTTTCAGATAGCTATACTCAGCTTCACTAGAGTCAGCTGATCCAAGAATGCGATGTGGGTACAATTATCCCACTATCCTTTAATTTTCTGGCCAACCACTCAATGACCTGTTTTCCCCTCTTCTGTTTCTGATCCAGGGTATTCTGGGGATCTGATGGGAAAATACGTATCTTACAGTTCTTTTTGTTGCCCGAATAGGGTTGAGGCTTCTTGAGCACAGTGAGTTTGGCTGTCAGTCTGTTCCCAAATGCTTTTGTATCCTCCGCTCTGACCTGCTGATCAGTTCCACAGATCTGCCATTGATTTCTTCTTATATTTATTTTGTCATTTCAAAGGGATTTGGGGAGAAAAAAAGGGGTAAACATGTATTTTTATTTTTCAGGTCTAAACTAAGTCATAATGCAGCATTTGTGCAATTACCCATTGGTTTGGAGGGTGATTTTAAAGGTATTATAGATCTTATTGAGGAACGAGCCATCTATTTTGATGGAGACTTTGGGTAAGTGTTAAAAATATACTATTCTATTAAAATCTTATATTTTAAAAAGTATCAAAGAGAAGGAAAAGGATGAGTGCTTTAAATATAAACTTCTTTTTGAAATGTGGCTGGAAGAATATCCTCTAAGATGATTTTGTTTTAATGCTTTTAATCCTAGTTACTTCCCATTTTGCTTAGTATTCATTCCAAGGGAGAGTATGTTACTCTTTGGATGATATATTTATATTGCATTATGATATACACGGTGTGGTGAAAGGAGACCTTCAGCTTGGGCTAGTGATGTAATATCTCTTCTTCTACTTGTTCATGCATTCATCCATGTATTCTTTCATTCTGTAGACTTTTCTGGAACAGCTACTATGTTCTGGGTATTATAAAAACTGGGAAGAAAATAGGAATCATAAATATTTCCTCCACCTACTTCATGGGATTACAAAAATAAAAAGATTAATATATAAAAGAAGTTAAAACTTGTATACATGTGGTTTAGGCAATACTAAAAGCAAATTGGTAACTTTTGAAATGGTTTTGGTCTGTCAACCAACTTTTGAAGAGACCTTTGCATACAAAGCATTGTAACTGCGCAGTGGTTATCAAACCATGGCATTCAGAAAAGTCACCTAGAGAGCTTATTAAAACATAAATCTCTGGATTCACCTTTAGAGATTCTAATTCAGTAGCTGTAGGGTGGGCCTGGAGTTTGCATTTCTGGAAAGCTCCCAAGTGGTGCTGATGTTTCAGGTCTGCAGACCACAGTTTGAATGGCACTATTCTAGACAATTTGGGGAGTCATAAATGAACCTTTGTTCTGAAGCGTGGACCCAGTAGCCTGGCAGTTCTCTCCGAAGGTCCTTTATTAGGGGTTTCCTTTTTCTGCTATGGAACTGAGATTGCTGGTCTGGCAGGTGGGTGAAAGGCATTGTGATCAGTTAACTATATAGAATTTATCCTTATCGACTGTCTTGTAGGTAGGGAAAAAGATCAAGCCTATTCAGTGGACAAGGCATTTCTCACTCTTACTTTTGTTTGACAACTAAGTAATGACAACAAAGTTTATCTCTCACTCCTTAGAATGTAAGGGACAAGGATTTTTATCAGGTTTATTCGCTGCTGTGTACCCAGCCCTAGAACTGTCTGGTACAAAATAGAGACTCAGAAAAGATTTTTAAGTAAATGAATAAATCTGCTTCCTCAGAATTACCAGGGCACACGTTTCTGTCTACTGAAGCAGAGGCTTTTAAACATTGTTGTACATCAGAACCACGGGCCTCTCACTGTTGTGGCCTCTCCCGTTGCGGAGCACAGGCTCTGGACGCGCAGGCTCAGCGGCCATGGCTCAAGGGCCTAGCTGCTCCGCAGCATGTGGGATCTTCCCGGACCGGGTCACGAACCCATGTCCCCTGCATCGGCAGGTGGACTCTCAACCACTGCGCCACCAGGGAAGCCCAGGTGGAACTTCTTAACATACCTGCCCCCTTTCCCAGCCCTAGACTACTGGGTATGTACATTTTGAAAGGAAGATTCTGACGTGAAAGACTAAGAAGCAGGGAGCTTGCCAGAATGGAAGAAATTAAGTTCTGAAGAGCATTCTTTAGGACAAGAAGAATTATTTTCTGACTACTTGCAATTATTTGCAATTGGCTTCTTTTCCCTTTTTTTTTCCCCCAGAAATGTGTTTTCTGAAAAGCTTGTTATTTTTCGACGTTAGATTCCATTTTTAAAGAAATCCTTTTAAAATGTTAAGACTGATGTTTCTAAATATCAAGTATATCCATTTCTCTGTATTTTATTTGTGACTCTTACCTGTCTGGCCCCTAGAGGGATGGAGAACTGAGGTCAAGGTTGAAGAGTCTGTCATAATTAGTAACCTTTTTTTTTTTTAAACTACAGAATGGAGTGTTCTGTGTTAAAAATTGCTATTAATGAAAAGGAATAGTCAAGTCTCTAATCCTGCTTGTCAGAGACTGTGATATTCTTCTTTTGTTTTTTTTTAAAGATTATGAAAACTGATACATGGAGTTTTTAATAAATTTATTTTATTTATTTTTGGCTACATTGGGTCTTTGTTGCTGCACGCGGGCTTTCTCTAGTTGTGGCGAGTGGGGGCTACTCTTCCTTGCGGTGTGCAGGCTTCTCATTGTGGTGGCTTCTCTTGTTGTGGAGCACGGGCTCTAGGCGCGCAGGCTTCGGTAGTTGTGGCTTGTGGGCTCTAGAGCACAGGCTCAGTAGTTGTGGCTCATGGGCTTAGTTGCTCTGCGGCATGTGGGATCTTCCCAGACCAGGGCTCGAACCCGTGTCCCCTGTATTGGCAGGCAGATTCTTAACCACGGCGCCACCAGGGAAGTCCCGACTGTGATATTCTGATTAATTTGGTTAATAGAATTTTCAAGTACAGTTGACTATTGAACAATGTGGGGGTTAGAGGTGCTGATCCCCCCGTGCAGTTGAAAATCCAAGTATAACTTTTGACTCCCCCAAAACTTAACTACTAATAGCCTACTGTTGACTGGAAGCCTTACCTATAACGCAGTTGATTGACACATATTTTGTACGTTACATGTTGTATTCTTACAATAAAGTAAGCTAGAGAAAAAATGTTAAAGAAAATCATAAGGAAGAGAAAATACATTTATAGTATTGTACTCTATTTATCAATATGGAAAGTAACACCTACATCAGTAAAATCTTATATGAGTCAAAGCACTGTAGATGTTATATGTATTACTAACACTAGATATCAAAAATGAAAAGATATGAAGAGAAATTCATATTTATATACAGGTATAACAATTCATACATTGATAAGGAAGAAGCAGCGCTATGTTGCTTTATGGTAGCCTAGTGTAATTGATGTAATGCAGTAGCCTAGTCTGTATGCTAATGAATGAGTCGTTATAGAATTTTTTATGGCATATCATATAATCATATTCATAATACAGTATTGGAAGCATTGTGACTTTTAAAAAAATTACTTGTGATGATACAGAGTTTCTTTAATTATGTGAGAAAGGCACACTGTATGGTGATATAATTCTTTGAAAGCAAAGTTATAAAACAGAAAACTAACACATTAATTTCATATTAAATATCACTTATCTTATTCCTATATAATGATAGGCTGTCCACTTCAATACAAGTTTTGTATACAATGTTATACACATATATTTTTTCATGTTTATTGAAAAAAATCCGTGTATAAGTGGACCTGTGCAGTTCAAACCTGTGTTGTTCAAAGGTCAGCTGCACTCATGGGTTTTGGAGTCAGTTTAGCTTTGAATCATGGCTCATCTGTTTACTAGTAGTACAACCTTGAGCAGTTTGCTTTGCTTGTTTAAAGTATTTTGCCCACTATTCTGAATTTTAAAGATTCACATTTTTCTTATTTGTGATTTTAACGCAAATATATCAGAGCTCTTATCTAAAAAAATATTTTGGCCATTAGTTTATCTTTTTCATTGGTGCTTATATGTTTAATTGAATATTCTTTTTTTAAATTAACCTTTATTGGAGTATAGTTGATTTACAATTTAACTGAATATTCTTAAAGTACCAAAATAAAACATTTCTACTTTTAGTCAGGTTGTTCGATATGGGGAAATTCCAGCAGAATTCAGGGCGGCGGCAGCTGACCACCGGCAGGAGCTGATTGAATGTGTTGCTAATTCAGATGAGCAACTTGGTGAGATGTTTCTGGAAGAAAAAATTCCCTCAATTTCTGATTTAAAGGCAAGTGCTCTCAAAATTAATCTTATATTAATAAGAAAAAAGAGAGCTTTTGGTTTTTTTTTTTTTTTTTTGCAGGGAAGGGACATGGTGCTTTTATGCAGGGGTTTTATTACTGAAATCGGAGCAAAGTTGTTAACATAATTGGTTTCTTAAAAAAATATTTGACATGGCAAATTATTCTCTTTTTTTAAGTAGTGAGTTATGTAAAATGGGAAAGGAGTTATAGTTCTAGGAAAAAAGATACACTGCCAACCTCTTGGACATAGTCTTATTAAGAAGAAAGAAGATAAATTAGAATTGTACCCTGTTGTACTATTTGGAAGGCTGTATAGATTTTTTTACTTGATTGTTCAGCTCTTAAAAAATAAAGAGAAGTTCCCTGCCTAAAACTGGTATTCAGTTTGTAAATAGACAGTTCTCCATAGAAGATAACAAATGGCCAATAAGCACATGAAAAGATGCTCAGCATCACTAATCATTAGGGAAAGCAAATCGAAACCACAATGAGATACCACTTTACTTATTAGGATAACTATTATTTAAAAAACAAAATAAGTGTTGGTGAGGATATGGAGAAATTGGAACCCTTGTGCATTGCTGGGGGATGTAAAATGATGCATGTACTGTGGAAAACAGTATGGTGATTTCTCAAAAATTAAACCTAGAACTGCCATATGATCCAGTGATTCCACTTCTGTGTACCCAGAAGGATTGAAAGCAGGGACTCAGATATTTGTACACCAATGTTGATAGCAGCGTGATTCACAATAGCCAAAATTTGGAAACAACCCAATGTCCATCAATGGATGAATAAACAAAATTGGTATATTCATACAATGGAGGGTATTTTTTGGCTTTAAAAAGGAATCAGATTCTTATACATGCTACAGTATGGGTGAGTCTTGAGGACATGACGTTAAGTGAAATAAGCCAGACGTAAAAGGACAAATATTGTATGATTCCACTTCTGTGAGGTACCCAGAATAGTCAAATTCCTAGAGACAGAAAGTAGAATAGTGGTTACCAGGGGCTGTGGGGGGGAAGAATGGGAAGTTTAGTGGGTACAGAGTTTCAGTTTGGGACGGTGAAAAGTTCTGGAGGTGGATAATGGTAACAGCAATGTGAATGTACTTGATGCCACTGAACTGTACACTTAAAAATTGTAAAGATAGTCAATTTTGTTATGTATATTTTATCATAAAAACAAAAATCATAAAAAGACTGATATTTATTTTGCCAAACCACTTGGTGCCCTTAGCAGAGATCAGACAAGTAATTATTGTGTGTAAGACATTGCACTCAGGGAGTTTATAGATCAAATGCACAAGGAAAGAACCCTATTGAAGCTGAGATGCTTACTAATATATCTCATAGCTTGAGTTCTTTACCATTCACAAAGGCCTTATCACCTCAGCTCTCTGATGAGTAAGGAGCACCACGTAGGAAAGTATAGGTCTGGGCCTTAATTAAAGTCAAGCACCGTAACCCAGGAACCACAGTAGAGAGTTAGGTTTCGATCTATGAACGGGAATATGTCAGATTCTGTGATTCACTAGGAGTAAGGACTCAGCACATAATCACACTCATGGCTATGATTTATTACAGTGAAAGGATACAAAGCAAAATCAGCAAAGGGCAAAGGCACATGAGGTGAAGTCCAGAAGAAACCAGGCGTAAGCTCCCAGGCATCCAGTGCAGTCTTGCAGTGCTTGCCTGTTTCCTCCAGCGGAAAGGTGTGAGTGCACCTGTGAAATGACGTCTACCAGGGAAACTCATTAGAAACTCAGTGCCAAGGTTTTACTGGGGGCTGGTCACATAGACACCCACTGCCTAGCATGTACCAAATTCCAGACTCCCAGAAGGAAAGTAGGTGTTTAGCACACATCACATTGTTTGTACAACAGTATAGGCACAGTGAACCAGTCTTACCAGTTCTGGGAATGCTGGGAACCTCCCAGAAATCCAGATCCCCAGGCCTCAGCCAGGGGCCCAGCCTTGCAAGCAGGCCTTTATAAGGAGGACAGTTTTAGCCCTGCTATGTTTACTGTTTTCTGCCAGGATACATGAGTGTACTTTAGTTTCTATGTTGTTGTTGGGTATATTGTTATTAGGGACAGTGGAAAGGCAACGGTTTTCAAGTGTGAATGTGATTCTTATAAAAGTAAGGGAAATTTTCCGGAAAATAAAGCTTTTGTTAGGCTGGTATAGGGTTAGCTTTAATTTCTCCTTTTTTCTATTTATCAACCATGCTCATGTGTTTCTCTATTCAATGGATGTAAAGTTAAGCATGGTAAGATTCATATGTTCCTACTGTTGCATATAGGGAGGGTTGGAAAGTCAAAGACGTGACCTTGTGGCCTAGGGTAGCCTAAGTGATTAGTGACCAAGCCATTTCTGGTCCCTAGCAACAGCAAAGGCAAGTGTTTTAAGATAGCTCCAAATAGTAATTGCTTTCTTACCATGCCTATTTTCTCCTTTTTATACTCCTTTTATTGTGCTCAGCTGTTATCCTACTTTTCATTGTGATGTTTAGAAATTGTGGTTATAAATGTTTTGCTTTAAGCTTTTTAGGATAACTAGTTTTCTGTTTTTCCTGAGGACTGAGAAATAATTGTATGCAGCTGCATATTTCTGCAGTGGTGGGTTGTGGCCACAGCACAGCACTGCTGTTGGCCTCTTCCAGCTGCTAGAGCTAAAGGTCCACTGCTCCCTCTGAGGCCAGTAGCCAGTAAGGAATGAGGCTGGGACACATGGACGGTGCTTGCATGAGGGGTTGGGACGCGACCAGGAGGTCGTTATTTTAGAGTCTTGTTACTATCACGGCCCTTAATTTATGAGCAGTTTGTACTGTTTGGCTTCCTGTATGTATGTCCTTTAAAAAAAGAAAACAAATCAGTTAAATGTTTTTTTAATAGGTGATACTTTCATATCGTTTAAACTTTCGTATCATTTAAACATTTAACAACTATACAAAGGTACACAGGAAAAAGTCTCCCACCTGGCTCCCATCTGCCCAGTTCTCTGCCCTGTCCCTAAAACAGGTTGCCGGTTAATAGTTTCTGGTGTATCTTTCCAGAGACGTGTGTGTGTGTGTGTGTGTGTGTGTGTGTGTGTGTGTGTTGCTGTTCCCTCTATTTTACACAATTGTTAACATATTTCTTACACTGTTCTGTGTGTGTGTTTATTTTCTATGTATGTGTGTATGTATATATCTTTTTCTTTTTTAAGTTAGTGACATTCCAGGAGTGTTGAAAGCAATTGCAGTGTTGAAAGTTAAATAGCCTTTTTTCTTTTTTTTCTTTTTTTTGTATTTTGATCTTAAGTTATAGAGAACCTGATTCCAGTCTTCACCAGAGCCAGTACTCCAAAGAGTATCAATTCATTTCATTGATTTGTCACTTTGTAGTTGATCTGAAACACAAAATGTAACTTTAAGATAAACTAATCATTAATTTTTTTCGTTTGTAGCTTGCAATTCGAAGAGCCACTCTAAATAGGTCATTTACTCCTGTCTTTTTGGGAAGCGCCTTGAAGAACAAAGGAGTTCAGCCTCTTTTAGATGCTGTTTTAGAATACCTCCCAAATCCATCTGAAGTCCACAATTATGCTATTCTCAATCAGGAGTAAGTCTTGGAAATTGATTTTTAATTTATGCACAAAGACTTTAACATTTGTGCACTGGGAAAGTATTTAAGAATGGTTCTTATAGTTGCGATTGTGGGGTTTTCCCCATAATTTACAAAAATCAATCTCCATTTCTATTTGGGTAACGATTTTGGCATAGAGAAAAATATTTATTATACCTTCCCATATCATATCCTATTTGTAAGTTAGAAATATGATTTATTTCATTATCAGAGTTTACATCATTAGAAAATTTACTCATTTGGAACCAATTGTATTTTTTTTAATGCTTTAAGAAACAAAAATTTTGAAGTTCTCATTGATAATTTTTCTTTTTCTGCCAGACTATTTTTGTGTTTTTTATTCTGCTCTGGTCCTGTCACAATGCAGTAATTAAGGCCGGAAAAGTTATTCTTATTGATCCGTTTCAGTGAAATTTCACTTATGAATCAGCCCAGAAATGTTTACTGCACATGTGTTTCTTCTCAGATAATATTCTGATGAAACAAATTGATATAAAAGAAATATCAAATATTGCATCTCATAAATGTGTATTTCTTTTATTTTAAGTGACTCACAAGAGAAAACCAAAATCTTAATGAACCCCAAAAGAGACAGTTCCCATCCATTTGTAGGCCTGGCTTTTAAACTGGAGGTAAGTTGCTTCCTAATGTATTTAACTGCTATATATAGAAATTTTCTTTTCTGTTAGGCTTTTATTCCTATTATAAAATGACTTAGGAAATATTTGGTTACAGGTTTTTCCACTGTAAAGTTACTTTCCCCTCTACCCCGTTCCATATTGACTCTTTAGAAGAAGGTTCCTGGGCACAGCCCACACTTAAGGGCTGGGAATTATTTTCTTCCTCCTTGAGGGAGCAATATCTATGTAAGTTATTTGAGATTCTTCTGTATAGGAGAATTGTGTTTTCTCCCCATATATTTATTTATTCAATCATTTATTTTTATCAGTATGGACTCATGGATATTTATTTTGTACTTTGAGTTATAATCCAGTGGTATGTTACTTATTTTGTTGCCAGATTGACCAGTTTTGGCCATTGGAGCTGTTTCACTTGGCTTCTGTGCCCCTTAGACATTCCACCGTATTTTGCTTTTTTGAATACTTCCTTACTTTCTGGCACTACAGGATTCTCCAGGCTTATGTTGTATATTCCCTGCCCCAGCCCTAGAATCAGCCATTTCTCTAAGAGCCCTGATTTCTTTTAATTGTGAATGGTATTAGAAACCAACATTTGGGGACTGGGTGTGCTTTTTGTTGTGTTATTGCTTCTGTGTATAATATTTTAAGTGGGAAAAAAGTTGGATAAGTTGAAAGTGTTAAAGAGTGGTTATTTCTGGGATGGAATTATATTGGGGGGGGTTTCGTAGTTTTTATTTTTAAATTTTTACAATATGCTTTTTATTACTTCTAAAACCAGAAAAAGTAATTTTAAATTAAAAAGTAGAAATAACATTGCAGTGACAATTTTTATGCATAAAGCTTTTAAAAATATATATTTAGGAATATTTTTCTTAGGATCCTCAGAATTGTAATTATTGAGTAACAGGTATGAAATATTTTAATATTTAATGATATATATTGCCAGATTGCTTTCATACTCTTAGAATTAATGTATATGTTAGATTATTTCAATGAATCTTTATCAGCATTGAGTATTGTTTATTAAAAATCATTACTGATTTCATAAATGAAAATAGTATTTTAATACTTCATCTTGCCTTAATTCCTAATAATAGAGAACATTTTTCCATATATTCATTATGGAATTGTATTTCCTCTTTTGTAATTGCCTCTTTATTTCTTTTGTCTTTCCTTTTTTAAAATTAGAGTCAAAGTGTTTTACTTATTTGTATGAGCCTTTCTCTAATAAAGTTTTTTAAAAAACAATTTGCAGTTTAAAATTTACATAGACAAATATATCAGTCTTTGTCTTTAGTCATTTTGTCATCTTTAACCTTATAAATCTTCCTCTTTGATTATATTTTGTAAATATTTACTTTTCTTTCTACTTTTTTGTGGTGGGGTTTCTTGTTTTGTTCATTGTTAATCCAGTTGGAATTTGTTTTGCTGAATGCTGTGAGGTAGGATCTAAATGTATTTCCTCTGCCTTCAAATAGAAGACCAATTGTCTAGTTACCAGTTTTTGAACAATGTTATATTTTTTCATTGATTGTCATGTGTCATTTATCTTCTCTTGACAAATGAATTAAACATTTTAGCTATTTATACTATACCTTATGGGCTGTTCAGTTTAATTTGTGCTAGTTTTATACTATTTATGTTTTGGAGTATTTAATATATTCTTATATTACTCAGAGTTATTTTCTATTTTTATCCATTCTTCTAATATTGAAGTCACTAATAAAATGTTTAAAAATTCCTCTTCTGATTTTTATTGCTATTGTGTTAAACCTGTAAATTAACATGGGAAGAATTGGCAACTTTTAAATACTTACCTAATAAGTTAGTGTTACTATTCAGGAGGAAATGATCCTTGATTATTCATTTTGTATTCAGTCACTTTACAGAACTCTTATTTGTATAGCTTTTCAGGTGACTCTCAAAGTTTCTCTAACATGTAGTCTAACTAACAATGTTAGTTTCTCCAACATTGTTGTCTTTCTAATAATTATACCTTATTTTTATGTCTTCTTGTATTAAACTGAACTTATGGAATAACTTCCTTATTATATAAATTTTAAAACTTTTTCTAATAATTTAGAGGAAGCAAAAGTAGTATCTTGGATTTTGATATCAAAGAACAACCATTTAACTTATCTATATTCAAAACTAGTATTAAAGTAGTTTATGACAACAAACTGAAGCATGTATATAAGTTGTACTACTAAAACTGATAGCAAATATTTGAAGGTAGTTGTGAAGTTTTCCTCTTAATTTTGATTCCTGTGTTTCTTTTTTATTCTTTCTGACCTTATCCAATCTTGACTTCTAGGCAGGTCGGTTTGGACAGTTAACTTATGTTCGAAATTATCAAGGACAGTTGAAGAAGGGTGATACCATCTATAATACGAGGACGAGAAAGAAAGTACGGGTGCAACGGCTGGTTCACATGCATGCTGACATGATGGAGGCGAGTACCTGGGCATTGTTGTGAGATCAGAAATTTCTCTAATGCAAGTGAAATATATCTACCTTCTTGGTATCCTGAGCCCCACAGAAAATCACTTCTAGTTGAATGTGTTTTCCTAGCTTCCTCCTTTTTAGTTAGGTGAGCTACAATTCTCATGTGGCACTTTGGTGTAGGCTAAATTAGCAAATGTCAGGAACACATTTAAAACCGCCATTTGTGAGTTAGCTGTATTTCCTCAGTGGCCAAGGTTAAGGAAAAGGGACATTAGTTCCCTAAGATTCGGAGCACAAGATTCAACACTTTCCTCAAGAGCTATCCTTACGAAGAGTATAATAGGTTTTTAGGACAGTGGAACTGTGGTTCTCAAAGGTAAATGAGAGTAATAAATTCATACATAACTTCCCACATTGTTCAGTAGATTTACTTCCTGAAATATGGAAGTAGAACCAACCCCCAGAAGGGCCATACTGATGCCAGAATTCATCTGAGCATTTAAAACCTCTGAAGGCCTAGTCTGGGAGATAAACTTTGGCTTATGGCTTGAATTCTTGAATTGGCTCTGAATCTGTCCTAGCCTTCTGTGGTCCATAGGGTTAAGGTTTGGCAGGAATACCAAGTGTGTGAGGTTGTCTCCTTCTTGCACCCTTTCTCAATTCAGCTCTGTATTCCTAGAGAAGTTTATTAGTCTAAGCAAAATGTTACGACATTCAGAAATTTTCAGTGGCCATAACTTTTTTATCTCCTGGAAAATGAATAGGCAGTCTTTCAAATTAGACATCATTGCTCTTTTTTGAGATAGGCAGCAGGGGGCAGGCTAGAGGGATTAGTGATTGCTACAGCTCTTTCATGGGCCAGAAGCTAGGAGATCGATCTGTACAGCTGTGTAACCAGTAAAGCAAGACACACACACTTGCTCATTTACAGCCACAGCTGTTATTAATGAACTGTCAATATAAAAGACTAGGAAGTTTAGAGGCACCAGTGCTTTATTCTTAGATTTCCTGTGTTTTTTTAACTGCCTGCATCTGTGAGAAATTAAGATTATTTTAAGTACAGTAGACTCCATTCTCCTGCCTTTGTTTTCCCAAACTTCCTTTGCAGGTTTTCCTTGTATGCCTTTGTCATACATATCTCATTGTTGGACTGTGGCAGCACATATAGTACTACATGTTTTTTGTTTGTTTTTCTTTTTTTCTTTCTGATAGAATTGTATTTTTTATTTTTTTGAATTTATCTTTTTAAAATTTATTTCTTAATTGAAGTATAGTTGAATTACAATGTGTTAATTACTGCTGTACAGCAAAGTGACTCAGTTATACATATATATACATTCTTTTTCATATTCTTTTCCATTATGGTTTATCACAGGATATTGAATATAGTTCCCTGTGCTATACAGTAAGACCTTGTTGTTTATCCATTCTATACTACATGCTTTTTAATTCTATAGAAATAACTTTAGAACCATGAGGTTCTGTGTTCTGTCAGTACTGCAGATCCTCCAAGTAAAGATGCCATAGCTTGGAGTTTCCATTTAAAGTAACATCTTGTCAGTTGAGGTGTGGTTTAAATAAGGGCCCTTGCCGTGGTTGATTGTTGGTGTTGCATCGATTCTGTCTAATTCCTTCTTTGTGGAATTCGTGGTGAGATTCTGCCACATTTGTTTGTGTACAATGTGTTTATTGTGCAATTACTTTTTAGTTATGACGTCCTGGTTTATATTACTTGCAAGTATCGTATTGTATTCTTTATTTAGGATATTGAGGAAGTGTTTGCCGGAGACATCTGTGCATTGTTTGGCATTGACTGTGCTAGTGGAGACACATTCACAAACAAAGATAATAGTGGCCTTTCTATGGTAAGTCATTTAACTTCAAAGCTGTTTATCACTTGCGTTTCAAAAGTCTATGTTTTAGTACTTCAGAAAAACAACCACAGAAGTTTTCATTGAGTGCCACGGGCATCAAGTGTAGGTTGGTTATGGCTCTTTTAATGTCAACTAAACAAGTGCTCTGTTAGCTAACTTACCTGGTTTTTCGTAGTAAAATCATTCTACCATTCTCCAGGGTTTAGCATGCAGGGAAAATCTCCACCAGGTAACCTGGCATGTGTAGCGCTGACTCCTACCCTGAGATCTGCCTCCCCATTGTGGGCACACCTCTAATTGCTGTCACCGTCATCAGGCTAGTCCCAGCCAAGTGCTCCTTCCTTATTAACTCGGCAGCTGGAGATTGGACCCTTCCCTCAATCCCCTAGAGAACTGTAAGAGCAGGCTGTAACATTTTGGCTAGACTCCAGGGGCAGCATGACAGAACAGAACCCAGCCCTGCAGGCAGGATGCAACTAGACAGTCCCACTTACTGTACACAGCCTGCCTTGTGGAACTCATAGGTCCCTTTTCATCACTGAGGGAGACTGAAGGGAAGAGCATGCTCGGGCAATTCCTGCCTTTCAGTCCCCTTTACTCCTCCCCTTTTTGCCCCCACAGGACAGTAGGCTCTTGCACAGTATGACCATGTGTTCATGAGGGTGCTCCCGCTCCTGAATTCATTCAGTAAAGGACGAATATGAGTACACAGGGGATAGGTGATTTGCAGTGAAGGAATTTACAGTGGGTTGTTTATATAAGAACTGGTCCAGCCTAACAGATGAGCACTATAATAGCTCCTGTATCATATGATGAATTCTTAATTTTATAATTTAGCTTTTTTGTATAAAATACTCTCTAATGTCTATGGTTTTACATGTGAAGTTAGGACACTACAAAAATCATAAATCTGTAAAGGTTTTGGGGGGATCTAGATAAGGGGACTTTTTGACAAGTATTATTGATAAGGCTTTTTCTAAACTTGTCATTACCTATATGAAGGGACTGGAGGTTGTGGGAAGTACTCAGGCGTTGAGGCAAATAGACCCTGGTCAGTCTTACCTCTGCCCTGTGCTACCTGCTGGCCCTTGGCCAAGTTAGTTATTCTTCTTGCCAAGCCTTTAATGCTTCTATTTGTAAAATGGGGATAATAATATCTGCCTCTCAGAGTTGTGACTGATTAAATGAATATCATATGTATAAAGAATCTAGTCCCTTTCTCTGCTTATCAGTGATGGCAGTATATTTTGATTAAATAACTTATCAGAAGATAGCTATAGCAGATGTAGCCACTAGCTAATAAGTATTCCACATCTCAGCATTTGAATTCATTATACGTAACGATTATGTTAAACTGAAAGTGTCAACAAACTTAAGGGTCTTAAACAGTTAAGTAAGTAAATAGATGCTTTATTTTTGCATAAATATATGCAAAATATTTTTTGCATATATTCAAAAAAATATAAATATTTTTTATATTTATAGGGAGGAGAGGAGATCATATAAGTGGACACCTATATATGTTAATATATTCATTTATTTAAGGAAAAACAGACCAAGATATATTTGTCTACCCTAAGATGTTGACTAGTATTTGTCTTTTGTTCTGTTGTAAAGGAGAACATTAAAATTAATCCATCCCTGACACATACGGTACTGTATTTGAATTCTTCTCTGTTCTTTGAAAAATATTTTAGGAGTCAATTCATGTTCCTGATCCTGTCATTTCAATAGCAGTGAAGCCTTCTAACAAGGTAGGAGTTTGATAACGCTCAGTATATCACAGTAAAAGCTTGAGCTCTTTTTTGTCTGTCTCCACAATGCACATGGTGTCTTGTGATAACCAGCAGTCTTATGGTCTCTATTTCCTTTTTTGGTATTCAGATCACCTTTTAAAATTTACCAGTCTATTAGTAGTAAGTACTTCACAGTATATTTGAAGAAGTTGATGGTATTAAAGTATTCATGAGACTGTGCTTTATAACTCTTTACTATAGTAAAGGTATATCATTGGCTCTGGAGTGTTAAGTGTGAGTAACTTCCTAGATTCAGATCATAAGAGATGGAAGAGAGGCAACTGAGGCATTTGTCCTAAGTTGCAGAAAAACCTCACTGTAAAGTATATTAAAATATTGCGTAGATTAATTGCCTCATGGATTATAATACATCTCTACATCTGTGGTAATTATGAAGTAAATGTCTGACTATAACATGGAAGGCCTTCAAACAAGACTGTTTTGACTCACTTTCAAATACAAAGTTTTATGATTGGATTTGATGTCATTTAGCTTTTTAGCCAAAATTGCTTGAATAGGTTCTGCATATGCATTGCTTGTCATTGGAATTAGTCCTGATCTTGAAACATAATTGTTTAGTTCTTAAGTTAGTCAGGAAACGTTCAGTCACTCTATCTCAGAAAGTTGAAAGGCGAGCTTTACATCTTACCACAGTGAGATGCCACAGTTTGCTCCAAGTACTTTGCCAGATTGGTTGCTTTTCCCTTCAGAAGATGAAGGACTAGAAGTTAAAGATATTATTCTTCTTTATTCCTAACTCCAGAGTTCATGTAAGACATATTTAACTGTTGATAGTTCACAATCATGGAGGGAAATCAAACGCATCAATATTCAAAAGGTTTTTTGGTGTCTTGGGGTTGTCTGCTTCCTGGAGAATTAATATACATCAAATAATGAAATCACTGCATAAAACCCTGAATCTCAGTAGTGGGGCAGGGGTGATCTTCTAGTAAGTTGAGAGTCCCTGGCTAGTGCAGGGAAAAGGGAAAAGACTTTGGAGATAGACTAACCCAGGATTCAAGCCCAGCTAGCTCTGTGGACTTGAGCAACTTGTCTGTACCTAGTTTCCTCACCTGTAAAACATGGATAATTCTGTCGTGCAGCCTTGTGGTTAGAATTTGAGATAACGTATACATAACACATCTTCAGCCACATGTGATAGCTGTTAATATTGGTGATTGGGGCGTGCTAGTTTTCTATTGCTGCCGTAAGAAATTAGCAAAAACTTAGTGGCTTAAAACAGCACAGATGTATTATTTTACAGTTGTGTAGGTCACAATTTGGACACAGTTCTTAATGGGCTAAAATCAAGTATTGGCAAGGCTGTGTTGTTTCTTTCTTGGAGGCTCTAGGGGACAGTTTAGTTCCTTGCTTACTCAAGATTGTTGGCAGAATTCAGCTCCTTGTTGTAGGACTGGGGTCCTCATTTCCTTGCTGTCACCTGAGGGCTGTTTGTAGCTTCTAGAGGCTGCTCATAGCCCCCTTCCTCCTGTCTTCAATGCCAGCAACAGCAAAATGAGCCCCTCTCATGTTTCAAATATCTCCTGTCTCTTCTTTTTCTCTTCCCATCTCTCCACTACCTTTCTTCATTCAGCTTCCATTTTTATTTTATTTTATTAAAAAAAAATTTTTTTGGCTGCATTGGGTCTTCGTTGCTGTGCATGTGCGGCAAGTGGGGGCTACTCTTCATTGCGGTGCACAGGCTTCTCATTGCAGTGGCTTCTCTTGTGGCGGAGCACAGGCTCTAGGCATGCAGGCTTCAGTAGTTGCATCATGCAGGCTCAGTAGTTGCAGCACATGGGCGCTAGAGCACATGGGCTTCAGTAGTTGCGGCGTGTGGGCTCAGTAGTTGTGGCTCGTGGGCTCTAGAGCGCAAGCTCAGTAGTTGTGGTGCACAGGCTTAGTTGCTCTGTGGCACGTGGGATCTTCCCAGACCAGGGATTGAACCCGTGTCCCCTGCATTGGCAGGCGGATTCTTAACCACTGCGCCACCAGGGAAGTCCCTCAGCTTCCATTTTTAAAGGCCCATGCAATTAAATTGGGCCTGTCCAGATTATTCATGATAATCTCCCCATCTCAAAGTCTGTAACCTTACTCACATCTGCTGAGTCCCCTTTGCCATGTAAGGTAACAGTCACAGGTTTGGGGGGATTAGGGCATGTCCTTAGAAGACCATTATTCTGCTTACCACATAAGGAAGTTACATCTAAGGAGAATAAAGGTGCATCAAACCACATCCAAGCAGATAGTTTTGAAAGGGAGAGGTCTCATGTGCATTTGCCTAGTGTGGGTCTAAACTGCCCTCTTGAATCTACAGTAGAATCTTGGTAACCATGCTGATTCCTTTGGTTATGTATAGGATTTCTAAAATATGACACAGTAACACAGATTCTGCTTTATGGGCAGTTTTCCACAAATGGACAGTTTTTGTCAATATAATAGGAAAGGGCATAGAGTTAAGTCTTGGACTCCTGTATGTTGGTGTGAAAAGAAAATTCTCTCAGTTAGCTATTCCCTGCTGTCTTGGCTGTGTGGTATCCAAGCTCTCATATTAAAAGGATATAGCCTAGAAACTAGATGGTAGATCATTTTTATTTTTTAACTGTTCGTGTATTTGATTTCATTCATTAAAGTTTTTTCAACAATTTCATTGCTTACCATGCTTAGTAAAATGTGTAATGATTTTCTTTTTTTAAAGAATGATCTGGAAAAATTTTCAAAAGGCATTGGCAGGTTTACAAGAGAAGATCCCACATTTAAAGTCCACTTTGACACTGAGAGCAAAGAGACAATTGTATCTGGAATGGGAGAATTACACCTGGAAATCTATGCTCAGGTAATGAATAACAAAGAAGTTAAATTCACTTTATTTATGTCTATGTTTTGTTAAAAGTCGATAATTCTCAATCTAATGGTTGTAAACTAATAGTGGTTCTTCAAGCTTCACTCTGGTTTTTGTATCTAGATGTGGTATACTGCTTCTTCCAGTGTGTGTTACTAATTAATTACTTTTGGTTTCTAAATCTTTTTATTCGTAAAACATTGCAGACTTCTAGAATCAAGGCTCAGGGGATTTGCAGTAAGACCATTGATCCATCCCTAGGTTATGGTCCCTTGGGTCGAGTGTATCCTGGTCTCAGCCTTAGGAAGACAACCTTAGGGAGAAACCTGCTGAGAAAGTCGGCCCACCAGTACCCACTCTTCAGGCCATTTCTTGCCTGTTTTCTTCTCAAGTCACTACTTGAAGATCATTATAATGGAGATAAACAAGTGGATAGATGGGACCCCTGCTTACCTAGGAAAGGTCTTGTGTGTATGTGAACGAAAACAAAATATATATGACTTACAATTAAAAATTCTGGTTCTGATTATATCTTTGAAATTGAGATAGTAGAAAATTATGACAACAGATTCATATACTATTCCAGTAAATATGTAATAAAATGGAGCAAAGATAAAGTTTTAGTGGATAGATGAATTGGAGGTAAGTATAAATTAATCAGTCTAAATTAGAATTCATTTATATAAAATCTGTAAAAGCAGTTTGTATTGCTTAATATCATGTATTTATCCTCATAAGGTACTTAAGTGATTTAAGATTTATCATTTGCTTATCATATTTAAATGAATGCTTCTAAGGTAGTTGAGATTCTTAGGATTTTTCTTCCTTTAGTTTATTATTTTTTTAATTTAAATATATCAAAAAGATCTCTCCTGCTCTTTTTAGAGGATGGAAAGAGAATATGGCTGTCCTTGTATCACAGGAAAGCCAAAAGTTGCTTTCAGAGAAACCATTACGGCCCCTGTCCCGTAAGTATGCGAAACGATTAAACATAAACTATGAGGCTGGAATTTAAAAATTTTTATTAGGGGATATACATAGCACTATTACTGTTGATAAGACACTTTTACATTGTGATGCTCTTTATTATGGAAGCTATATAGTTCTGTAGTTCAGGCCGTTTATACAAAGGGACACTTATGAGATTTGTCTGACCCTTTAAGCTAGATATCAATGAAGACTGGTATACGCATCATTAATAAGCATGTTTATACTTCATCGAATGTTACAGTCTTCATTTATTCCAATTGTGCTTCCTTTGGTAGACGGCTATTATGTTTTACTTTAGTACCATATTGTGGATGCCAGAGAACTTGCATTTGCCAAGGAATAATCTCCTGCAAGTAAAGGAAACTGATGCTATGATAAAATTCAGAAAACATTTAAGAAAACAGAGTTGGGTTTATATTTTGTTAGAAACAAAACAGTCCTCATAAAGAAAGCACAAAACAAGCTAAATTGCTGCAAGTGTAATATATTTCAACCTGGTGCCTATTTGAATTTATATGAATTCTGATTTAGAGTCAAAATTAATAAGGCATACTGTGGCTACAAAATGAGTCTCAATTTTCAAAGTAGCATCAAATAAAGGAAAATGATACTCTACCTGAGATGCAATGTCATGAAGTAGAATGGTGTAGTCTAACTCAATGAAGTCATCATTTCTTTGCTATAATAAAATATAAAAACCTGCATTTAAAACTTGATATCATTGGCAAAAATGATAATTTTAAGAATCAGCTTTCATTAGTAGATGACAGTAATACTTCCACTTAAGTAAAGTTAAAAATTGAATGTCATAATTTATTTAGCCTGGCAGAAAAACTATCTTCTTATAAATAAGATTTTTTTCAAACTACATTTTAAAATCATGATTTTTTAAAAATTTGTTACTCTAAAAATCATTTACCTTTCTGTTTTTAGTTTCTGAGTTGTGGTAGCTACTTAAGAACATTAGAGTCTATAATTTGTCATTTAAATTCCTTAATGTTTCCATTATTCAGAAAAGCATCGTTTAAGGGATAAACTACTGAAATGACAGTTTACACTAAAGGAAACCAATTTTATAATAGAAATTCTCTTTTAAAAAACTGAAAATAATAAAATGTAATGTTTGATTTTGTAACTAAAGCTTTGATCTATGCTGCTTGTTGCTTTGGACATATAAAGTATTTATACTATCAGCTGCACAGAAATATTGCATCTACAGAGTTTCAAACCATGGTCGTCAGAAATTTGCTGTACTCACACGAGGCTCTTTAAGGCTTATAACTGATGTACTGAAACAAGCCCTAGACTCCAAGAGGCAGCACAAACTCCTGTGGCTCCTTTGGTTGACAGTAATTATAAATATGGCCCCAGGATCAAATAAAACTATACTCTTCTCTCCTTAATAGTATCTTGAAGCAATCCCTTCTTTGACTATATCAACAAAGAATGTCCTTTAAGGATAAGGTAAAAATCAGGAAGGTTTCTTACGTGTTGGATCATAATAGGTAAAGATATATAATATATACACGCTGAAGCAGTGGTTAAACTCTTCTGTTGGGATTTTCATTAATGCTTTAAAACTTCAATTTAGTGAAGGTTTACAGGAAATTTATTTCATGAAGCAGTAACACTGCATATTTTGCTATAAAAACATGGCTTGAAAATCATGATTGTGATTGTATATCCTCTGTAACGTGGACCCAGCTACTCAATTATCTGAGCCTCGGTGCCCCTATAGGAGTGTTGTAACCAAGGTTGCTATCTACAAAAATGCATTAGAAAAAGGCTCTCTTAAAGTGTTATAAATAGTGATGCTAGGTATTTGGCATTACACTCTGAGTACTGTAATTGGCATCCTGTCCTCCAGTGTCCAGAGTTATCTACTAAGTGGCTGCAAAAGCTTGTGGAGTAAAGGTGCTCCAACTGCCTTGCAGTTTGTTATCAACAAACTGAAACAAGCCAATGGAAAGTGCTTTTTTCTTACAGAGTATTTTTCTTGTATTCCATTAAATACTACTAGTTGACATATTTTGTTTTTCTTTTAAACCTCTTACTAAAGCTAAACTCAAAGAATTTATTTTAATCTCTTTAAGGTCTAGAAAGAGGCAGTTTGGAATAGTCATATCAGACTTAAAATACAAGGCTAGCAACAAGTAAGATATGAGGTTGTCAATTATGACTAAATGGGTTATAAAAGATAATTATATACAGCAAGCTTCACAAAGACTGAGATGCTAATATTTTTGTTCCAGCTGATCCTGGGGGAAAAAAATCCAGCCATATCTCTAGCTCTGACACTACCATTTCACTAGAGGAGAAAAGCAGAGGTGGTTTCAGTATCACATGATTATAGTAATTTGAACACAAAACTTAGGTTGCGAAAGGAAGTAATCTGTATTAAGCTGCACACAAAAACCATTGCCAAATTATTTATAATTCAAGACTTCACTCTCTCGAAACTGCAGCTTCACCTTCTCTAGCCTTGATAACTGACTTCTCCTTCAAATACTGACTTCACTATCTTAAATACAAAATGACTAAAGGGGCACTATTCATCCAATCATGAATTATATCACCTTCAGTAAATATTAAATGTATTAATAGTGTATTTTATAGAAATTACTTACCACTTGCTTGACACTTTGAATTTTTGCCATTTTATACCATGTATTTTCAGTGGAATTTTGCCATATTATATAACCACAGGCAACCCAGGCTAAATGTTGAACTGGCTTCATTTCCGGAGGTACATTTCCAAAACTGTCTGGTGAGGGAAACATTTATATGATAAATGGAATTATTTTATATATACAGTATTAACCTTTAAAACAATCTAAATTCTAAGTCATGTCTTACTTTTCTTCAAATGTGTACAGAAAGTAATTAATTTAATTAAGCCATAGATTGATCTATAAAGTTTCAAGGCTTTTTTTGTTGTTGAATTAGATCAGTAATAAATATTTTTGCAAAAGTCAGTATATTGCCAGCATAATGTTAACATCTAACAATTTTGAGCATAGGTAATTGATATTGATCTTAAAGTCGAAAAAAATATTTTTCCGTGCCATATAGTTATATACCTGGAATATTTTGTGCTTCTAGTGGTTCCTTCATAGACTTGAGTCTATGGTAAAATGTGTTATCTTCCTCATCTGGGTTCTTTCCAATTTCTCCTTCAAATGTGAAGTTGACTTCTGGTGCAGTATCTTGTCCCATTGGAGGGTACAGTACTTCAGCTGTGCAATTCACTGTAACTTGCTGTTTGAAACATTTTGTGAAAGATCTTTACATGTAGATGGCCATCCATTACTGATTATTGTTCTTTGAGATATAACATTTAAAGCATCACCCCCCCTAATGATGTTGTTTCAGACTTGACTTGAGTGTACCTATTCCAGAGGTATCTAACTGGTGGTGGCCCAATAATTTTCTTAGAGGTATCTAAAATAGGTAACTTATTTTATAACATATAAGGTCTCATAATCTTGTAAATTCATTTTAAAACTATGTATTTCAGTATTAATGGGAAGTCCATTTGTAAGGCAGAGTTTAGTGTGTCTTTATATACCAACTCTAGACTCTGGTTACTTTTTTTAAGTCTGTCCATTACTCTTACTCTCTCCTCCTGAAATAACAAATTTTCTCAAACTCAGATTCTGCAATCTATATCCAAATATAAAATGAGAAGATTGTAGCATTGGTTCTGCTTTGTAAAGATGACTATCAAGCAGCTCAAATGCCTTTTAATGAATCTCCTTATGTTAGCCTGTATCTCTTCTTAATTATGCTTAACAAAAGGGCAAGCTTTTTTAAATTTCAGGATGGTTATGATACAAGTGGCAGTTCCTTCCTTTTAAGTTTGTCTCATTAATAATTTGACAGGTGTATATATTTTTTAAATTTCCCTGCCCCATTACTGAAAGATTTTTATCTGAACACGATGGTATCAGTTGGCCATTCTATTGCTCATAAATATCTAAGAAAGCACTTGCTTTCTTTAAATAAAAGAAATGAAAAACAGAATGAAACAGACATTAAAAAAGTGATGATGATTGTAGAGTTCATTATTACACATGTTCATATTAGGCATAAATTCATACTGGCCTATGAGTACGTAACATTTTTAAAGGAAATTTATTTGAACTGAAGTATATAGAGTCTCTTTTCTAAATAGTGTTATAGAAATACTAAGTGTATCTCAGAATACACAAAAAGTAAAAACTGACCTTTGTATGGTGATCATTTTTTTTTTGAGGCAGGGATTTTACAACAACTCTTTTAAAAACCAAATTAATCCTATGATTTGATCAGCAGAGGTGATATGGAATATTAGGAATCAAATTTTATTTCATAATAAAATGACATTTCACTTACTTTTTGGATAATTTCTTCCACAGAAAATTTAAGGCAATACTTTCGTCCTCTTCCCGGAATATCCTAAAATTAAGAAAATGTGGTGTTATTATAACAATAACTCAATTCTTTACATTGTTAGAAGAATCCATTCTCATCTGGTTGGGTGTGGTGCTGACTGTTGGGGGTAAATGATTAAGGCCTTACACCTTGACCAAGGAATGTCACCATGTTTGTGACATCTAATTTAGCAGGTCCTCTAGCAGGGTTATTTTGGATGAGAACAAGAGGGTGAGATAAAAGCATATATAAATAAAATCGGTTATAATTCACTTTCAATCATCAGAGTACTCTAACCTCTGGATCTGTGATCCTAAATTCCACATAAGAAATTTTGAAAATTTTAATTCTAAAGGTGACAAATAGGATGCACCATTGAAAAGCTTTTTCATAAAGCCTTATGTACCCTCCAAGTAGTGTTCAATGAAGATGAATTCCAGTTTGAGGCAGCTTACTGCGAAGTGGTTAGAGAATGTTAAGTACTGCTTTTGTATGTTAGTGGACCTGCAAAATGATGCGTTAACAAATTTTATAACCATTAGACAGACGTTTAGGTATTTCACTT